TTACACGGTTCTGATGGCAGACTCATACTCGGGTACTGGCCTCGTGCATCGATCTCCTTAAATTCCGGACAGATTTTACAAAGTCTTCTGTTGTGATTCCAGATCATATGTCTTTGGAGGTTTTACATCAGATGAACTCGTAAGTTGGCTCTCGAAGAGTTGGTCATCATCATATGGCTCAGGTCGTCGGCAACGGCTTCGGTTGCAAAGTTCAAGGTCCTATACAATTTCAAGAATCATTATTCTCTTATGGTGGTGTTCCATATAGGCGTCTTTGTGTTTTGTGCTCGTACTCGCTGTGAAAACCAAGGAACTTGTGACGAATTTGATAATTCGAATATTCCGCTTCTCTTATCAGTTGTTATCCTCTGGTTTTCTGGTATAACAAGGAGTTGCGAGGAAACTTCTTACGGTCCTGGTGTTAATCCTGCAGATTTTTGTTTTCAAATGAGCACAGGAAATATGTTGAATTCTTTTGTAATTAGCGCTATAGTTCATTCTCATAGAGCAGACGATACAACGACAGTTCATGGAATGTGACTTCCCTTTGCAAGTTAATTTCTAAATCATTCCCGATCAGTGTGTCACATTGTGGCGACCACTTTGAAATTATTTGTATTGTTTATTCAGCTTGAAGCCTTACGGCTCATAAGCATACACAACAACGTATAATTGATACATCAGTGATATGAAATACCAAATAATTATAACATCATGAATAAAGCATAATCTTGTACATCGCATATATATATAAACCTATAAATGGACAGTATAATTCTTTAAATTATTATAAAGTACGAGATAAATAAATTATCGGAAGATGGACAGCTCTTGTAAAATTACTTCACTTAAGTGGACTGGCTATCGGAAAACAGATGAGGTGACAACATTTTCTTAAGATAATAACAACCGGGGCACAATAAAGAGTATGTTAATTACAAAAACAAAACAAAAACAGGCATACAATTTGTATACAGTGGTGTAGGACAAAACAATATGTGTAAACCTGGAAATAAACAAGTACTCAAATGTTATCAGTCAGTGTGAGAGAAAAAAAACACAATAACTTAAGGTTGGAATATAGACCGTTCTAACCAACTTGATTGCAGATACTTTCCTAGATTACACAGCTCTTTTTCTATTACGTACAGATAGCAGCTGGACAAGTTTATATGAAGATGGGCGGCTCCAGTAATACTTTTTAATGATTTTTTACGAATATCAACAAGTGGACAAATCAGAACAAAATGGAACTCGTCCTCTACCTGGTTTTGATTACAATAACGGCATAACCTATTCGCCCTCGGAACATATAACTGATGCGATGAAAGTCGTAATTTCGAAATAAGTTTAAGATACGCATCTGGAATAGGCTTTGTTAGATAAAATTGTAACGTAAAGCTATCTATCAGGAATGTATACAAATAACATTTGGATGATCTTTCAACAAATTCATTCCTTGTTTGAATAAAAACATCTGTCTAACGCTGCTTGAAACAATGTAAAAATACCATTTCATTATCAACATAATGAGTTAACCAGACATTACCAAAACCAGAAGACAATAATAATTTTCTAACTTGACAACGCCAATTACAGTTTCTGCGTGCAATGCTATATATTTTGAGCTTGGACGACTTCCTCTGCATGGCAAACGATCAGATGCTTCGAATGTTTAAATATTGGTTAAAGTTGTTAAATTGTGCAAATGTATTCTAACAGAATCATATCAGTTTATATTGAAAGAAACTTGGAGGGAAAACCCGAAACGAAATTGGTTATTATTCATAAAGCATAAATTATTTGAACTAGGGTTTGGATATATATGGTTAAGGCGGGCAGCTACCGACATCTGTCTACTACCTATTATTAAACAGCGCATAGATGATCAGGCAAAACACACTTTATTCAACTCGTTGGCCATCTCAAGTAAATGTGATATCTATAGATACATGGTAGATACCGTGATGTTGCAATATTATTTAACAAAGTTTGTACCAAAACAACGTCGAATTATGATTACCAAATTACGTATGTCAGCTCACAATCTTGCAATAAAAACGGGAAGATACAGGAATGTTGCACGGAATAATAGATATTGCAGTAACTGTGACCTAATAAGGATAGAAGATGAATTTCATTTTCTATTTACTATGTAAAAGAACTGCATTTGTTAGGTAAATTTATTATTGAAGGTAAATGCTCAACGTTGTTTTTTGTTGTTGATGATGATGATGATGATATTTTGATGATGATGATGATGATGATGATGATGATGAAAGTGGTAATGATTTCAATAATATCGGTGACTTGTAAAAAATGTACCAGTTTTATGAAATTCATGAAATTATGTCATGTTGTTGTACTTTGACGATAATGAAGATGATGATAATGATGATGATGATGATGATGTTGATGATGATGATGATGATGATGATGTAGTATTTGATGTTGATTTTAAGAGATGATTATTTCATGATGATGAGTTATAAGACGACGACGACGGCCACTACGATGATGATGATGATGATAATGATGAAAGCGATGAATTATGATTTCGATGATGTTGTTGTTGTAACTGATTTGTGATGAATGTGTCAGTTATATGTTATTATATGTTGTACTTATATGAAATAATTCGTTGAAAATCCTATAAGTTGTAAAAAATATGGAAATAAATTGAATTGAATTGGTGATTACATTCATCCATATCTTCATAAACTGACTTAAGAACACAATTGTCGCATTTAATTAGTTTCAACCTATATTTTATTATTCGACACTTCCTGATGATATGCAAAGGCAGACGTCCTAATTCCGAATTTACATTCAGAATTCTTTTTAAAAAGTCAACATGCACTTTTTCTACTTTGTCCGCAATATTGAAACCCCATGTTTCGCAGCCGTAATTGAGAGTGGAGGAAACATAGACATCAAAAACATTAAGTTTAGATTCTACATTGAGGGACAAATTGTTACAAATTCTTAACGCATTATACTTACATTTACGACCTTTTTCAGCAATAGTAACTTGAGTTTTTGTAAACTTACCATTAAAGCTGAGCAGTACACCAAGTTAATTAAATCTATCAACAATTTCTATTTCATTGCCATTAAAGTTAAAAAAAAAATCGCCAGCTCGTAATCTTCCGCCATTACGAAATACAACAATTTTTGTTTTTTTCCATATTGACTGTCAATTGCCATTTGTCGGTATATTGTTTTAAGGAGTCTAACATTTTCTGCAAGCCAGAGGCAGATTCTGAGAAAAGGACAGTATCATCTGCATACATAAGAAGAAACAGAGAAATATCTCTCAAGAATAAAGCGTCACAGGAAGCATTCACATATATGGAGTCAAGGAAGGGAGATAACCCCTCCCCTTGCATTAAGCCCCGTGAGCACGAAAACAAATTCAGACAACTCAGACTTATATCTCACACAGGACTTTAAACCTTCATATAAAGATTTCAAAATATTTAATAATTTTCCTCTGATTCCATTATGAAAAAGTTTCAAAATTAATTTATTTCTATTCACACTATCGAAGGCCTTACGATAGTCAACAAAACAGCAGTAGTAAAGCTTACGATTTTTAGAAAGCATTTTCTTAATTATATCATGTAAAGTAAAAATAGCATCTTTAGTTCCAAATAGACTCGCACTGTTATCTTGAATTTGAGACAATGGCATTATATGTCAGACAGCCACCAAAGGAAATTATCAATACAAAGATAATGGAATGATGATCCTGAATAGTGTCCTTAAGATGATGACGCAATATTCACCCTACACAAACAAATGTGCAGACATGATAAACGAAGAGCGAAACAAACCCGTGTTCTCGTAGGGCCCACATTAGTCGCCTCATCAAAGTATATAGTGGAATACAATACAGTTTATTTTATTTCATTGGCACATGTTAATATCACATTACAACAATAGTTCACGTATTTACATAATTCAAAAATGTTATTTCATTTATATGATCGTAAAAACATTGACATCGGCCATGCTTATGAGACAATAAGTACGCGTATCTATAAAATACAAAATAAGTAAGTATTTAAAACTTATTGTATGAAACATCGTTTATATTTGTGTAAACACGTAAGTAAAACATAAATGTCGGTGGTCCATATGATAAATAGTTGCAGCTATGATATTCTGAATGTTGGAATTTGTCCTTAAAATTGTAATTTACCACTATCACCAAGGTCTATAAAATAAGGGTTTTAAATACGAGCTGCACTGAAGAATTCAGTTGCGATTTCAGAGTAAAATTCACAGTTAATTAAAAAACTGCTTCATCTTCCGAACTTTTGCATGACAAAGATTACATAAATGTAAGCGAATCAATTCCCTAAAGGGGATCGGATACGTCATATAGAAATATGCTGCAAATAATGTTACTAAATCTTCGCTATTGATATCCTATTTGGTTATTATACTACCTTTAATGGGGTTTTATTTAGTTATGTATTTATTTATTTATTTTTTATTAATTTATATATTTCACGTTATATTTTATAATATTGATTAAAAAAAGTTGTTTCACAATCTCACACTGATCAATTTATTCCGAGTTTTTCTCAAATAAATGATATGTAGGGTCTGTTTGGTCACGGTCTAAGGTCCTCGCTTGAGCCAAGGTCATATGCAGACGGAGAAGGGTTAGGGGAAGTTGTGACTATCAATAAGATCTAAAAAACTACAAATCTCGACACTTACATACATCATTTACAATGTACCTGGGCAACAGAGTAAAGACAACTTAAGAACACTTTTACTGCAAATTTTATGGTAAAAATGCGTGTAGAATGCTATAAACAATAAATATTCGAAGGAAGGGGACAAAGTACCAATGCATTAAACATGAGAAAAATAGTTTATACCATTTCAGTTTCTGACTTCAACAAGACTAGTCAAATGCTTGTGTACTACATTGTACACAGAAATAAAGGGAAGTAACTCGAACTTTTTAAAAATCATGTGACCAATAACCGGAAACACCAGCCATTCGTAAACAAAATCTATCATGATCGCGATCTGACGTTCAATCTTGTGACCCCTGAGAAGTTTACCAGTTGCAGGATGGCAGGAGGGATCACAGATACCGGTGCCGGCTACTCCAGGCTGGTGAGTAATCCTAACCATTCTAAACTCACGGACGGATATATAGCTAGACTAGAAATTTTACATCGAGAGGAGGGGTGGTTTACTGTACATTTCTGTTTCAGCACAGGGTCTTGTTGATACGTTAGGAGGTATATTTTTGTATAATTACTTTAAATTAACTCTCTCAATGCTCCTACCAATATCAACAAGGTCCATAACCCTTCTTGATCCGCCAGGCCCACTGGTGCTGGACTCACTAGTATCATAGTTAACCCGAGTTTCCTCTTGCCCCGACACCATACAGCTAGACATATATCAGTCAAAATGTGGAAGTCTGGTGTCAGAGCCAGAGAAAACTCGGGCTAGACCTATCTGTGAAAGGATACCTTTCAGTTTCTCTTTGAATGTCAAATGTTCACCAATGAATGGCGTATCCTACTTTTTTCAAGATTTTAATGCCTTTGATATTTGAACGTCGTAGAAAGGTGCTGTCAAAATAAACTTTAATTGAAACCCTAACGTTAGCTAAAAATTCTCTAAGAGACAGTAAATAATTGTTCCAACTGATATACATTGATTGTAAATATTCACGTTCTACTTTGGATTTCTAACAAAACAAATTTTGAGACTTTTTTTCTGTTTAGAAAAGTTTCACATTAAAACATATTGGTTTTTTTTTTCTCGTACAGATTGGCCTCATCTACATATTTAACCTGATCGTGGGCACTGGAGCCCTGACCATGCCAAGCGCGTTCGCCTCGGCCGGCTGGCTGCTGAGTCTTATCATTGTCATCGCACTGGCAATCGTTAGGTTTGTAGCACTGTTTAACATTATATTTTTATCTTATTTATTTCCTTGTTTAAAAAATCCGTTATATCACAGAAACTTCATTTTTTTGTTCTTGAATATTTCCTTGTAGCCAGGAGTTTTATGTTATTTAATACCCATACCACATATAAAATTTAATTAAAAAAAGAACGATTTACTTCCTTAACCCCTGAAGTTTCATAATGAACTATTCCAACCTTTGATTTGGAAGAGTTCATATGGGTCTTTAGGGATGAATGAGTTAACCAGGAAAACTGAAACAGTACCAACCTCGGCTATGGTATGAGGAAGTTCTCTTAGAACAAACACAACTTTAAAAATTATTTTAACGACCGAGGAAAATAGTAGACCTTATACGTTTGTGTATGTCTATATTTAGGGGTCGATGTTAAATGAATTATAGGATGTGTTAATATCAAACGCTTTTCTTTGCAGCAATATGACCGTTTCTTTTGTAACGGAGGCAATGGGTTGGGCCAATGCTAAACTTAGATACGACGCTGGTCAAGCACACATGGTAAGGGTCCAATCATAGCGTTGGTCATTGACCAACACAAGAGTTCTAAGTGTACAAGATTGAAATACACAGTCCTATTATACAATACAGAGGTTGCTTGGCATATCTTGCGAACTTATACAGGAAAGACAGAAAGATTGAAAGCTTGTGCGACTTCGTTTTGCTCTCCCCCTACCCACACGTAAAATTGTTGTCATTCATTGAAAGTATTGTCTTATTTTTAGCACTTGTCTCTATCTTCTAGTTTACTGGTACCAAACAGAAATGATGTCTTGGTCTAAGGTAGTGATGAACTCAATATCATACTATGAACTAATGTTATTAATCAGAGAATGATACCATTCCTGTGTGGATCTCTATTAAAGAATAAATACTGTGTATTTATAATGTGCATGTTTTTCAAATGTTTAAAACTATTTTTGCTAGCCACCTGTGAACGTATCGAGAGTTGTTGATGGAGAAGATGCGGACGAGTCCAGACCATTACTTCAGAACGGTAAAGATACATAACTGTGATAATTATAAAACAATTTATACTCAGAGGTGTCATAACACTTGCTTGCTCCTCGTGACTGAGTCAAAATGGCGTCCATAACAACATCAGAAAAAAATGCCCATAATTTGCTTAATTACTCACATTTGAGCCTAGAACTAATATTAATACCCGGACTCCTCTCTGATTTTTTTTTATCTCGTCGTCAGAAAGCTACTTTATCGAAGCTAACTTAAGTCATACTTCACCGTTTTAAAAAGACTCATTTTCTCTGCACTAAGTGCCTGCTCATATTTAAGCTTAAACCATCTTGGCACACTGATACTACCTGTATTGTGTTGCCTCGATTACTAAACATGTTTCTGTGCATTTAGTCTATAATTTTCAGTCATTTTATGCAACTTCCTGTGCGCAAAATATTCATGCTTAATATTAGACAAACGAGGAAAAATATAAACATTATGGCCAAATTGTTTACCTCTTTAGATTTTGTTTTGGTTTCGACACTTCAAACATTTAATTCATTAGACAGACAGACAGAAGATTAAAGTCAATCAATACCTACATATATGTTCACATTTCAAATTACGTAAAGATAGCGTTCATCAATAGAAAAAGGAAGGTTAAACCGGTCGGACCACAGTTGTTCGTTGATTAAATAAGGTCGGACCTAGTAAATCTGATGCAACTTTCAGACGAGCGTTTACAAAGCCTTGCAAGGCCTGTATAAACAGTTGCAGGTCCGCCAGAATTTATACCCGAAATTGTTACAAACCGGTTTTTCCGCATCAACGAAAAGGTCCCAGTGTCCTGGTAGGGGAGAGTGGGATCAGGTTCAAATAAAAATTTGTTTATTTTCCACGGCCTTTTGTGTAATCCACTGTTTAATATTTTCATTTTTTGGGCGGATTGGTGGAGTGGTTAACACTCCGGCCTTCCACGCAGTCGACCGGGGTTCGATCCCCAAAGTCGTAGTACGCATATCTCCAGCACACACGCAGGGATACACACAGGGAGATATTTACCAGGTGACACAGGACTAGTAGTTAGCGTCAGATAAGGCAGCTCCTGCGAATTCCTCAAAAATTGTATTGATCAATGTATATGCTAACTGTATTTATAAATTGTATATCTATGTACTGTAAAGCGCTTTAGGGTGGCTTATTCTAGCCTAGATAGGGCGCTATATCAAATGTTGTATATTATTATTATTATGATGTGAAATAGGGCAAAATGAAGAGCAGCTGGAGAGATACGTGTAACTGGGGAAGAAAAGAAATATTTGCGAGAAGTTGCCACTATAAAATAAATTGAATATAAGTCTTGAAATGAGAATTACTCAAGTTAATGTGTAACGAACATATCTTAAATGATAAGTGGTTAATTAATGGCGGTTGCTGTTAAAATCAACACATTATCAACGTGATCATTGATATCTCCTATGAAAACAACCGGGCGTAATGAAACCTTCAGTGTGCATGTATACATTTTATAGACAATTGTAAAAGAAAACAATAAAAATGACAACAGGAATATTGATTTATTTACAGGTACCTGTGACCACAGTACGAATCCCTGTGACATGACGGAGAGAACAGAACTGGTAAGTGGATCTTTATATATTCTAAATTAATACGTTTATCACGTCCTTAAATGGCCTTAGCTGTTAATAGGACGCTAAACTAAAATATATACCGATGTAGTCTATAAAATCAAGTTATCTCAGAATGAAGTTGAGATCAAATTTACCTTGTCCTATTTTGTTTAATCAACACAATATGATGTTTAAATCGGTTGTTTGTTTTCTGTTACAAACATGCTTATAACGTTTCAATAAATTAATATTATGACTTTCCTGTTTTTTCAGGGTCAAATGGCCAAAATGTTTTTCAATAAATGTAAGTATGTTTGGTTTTCACGGCTTCGTATTACACTTCATAATCAAGTTAGTGACATTACAAAATAAATATATACTTGTATTTAAATATGTAAACCGATAATGTCATACGACTGTGCCTTGTCATTGTATCTTGAAGGTTGTCAAATGCTTGTTCAGTTTCCGTTGTAATTTTAACATTGGTTAATGCGAGTTCTCAAAAAGGCGTCGACGAAAATGAAAAAAACCCAACAAGCATGAAACAAGAAAACAAACGTGGAAGGTACAATTCTTTATTGGCGACAGTACATAATATATAACCGAAAAAACGTCCAAAGCCGGATTTTAGAGCGGGAATGGGGTATTTTGACGGAAATCATCTGTACACAATCCAGCATCCGTGCATCGGGACTTTTCAGAAATTATGAACATGAGCACAATGATGCAGTTTATGAATTGTGATATAAAATAAAATTATAAACCTGCTATTCCGTCGTATGAGTTTGTTTGTACTGACAAATGTATTATTTGTTTGAATGGAAATATTGTCTGACCTTCAAAGTTTAAACTTCCGTTTGTAAAGTAGAAGATTTCCGGAACTGTAATGGGTTTTGGTCGAAATGCTATTATAAGACGATCCAGTCTATTGCGTCACATTTTCGAGAATGGTTTCCAATATTATAGTTTATTTAACACAATATTTCTTACTTGAATACATTTGGGTTACGTTAAATATTGTAGAAAATTAACGTATAAAAACATTCATTGACTTTATGCTTGGAGACACTTAGAACATTTTGAAATTGTTTATATTCGTGAAACTAATTGGTAATAATAGATGAAGTGTACTTCTTCTCGCTCATCTTTATTTTTGCGTGCAAATGTAGGCTATAATGCTTTCCGAAATTTTCTTACCTTTTTACTCGTTTTTCATACTACTGTTTATTTTCCTCCACTAAACGTTGGTCCCTCTAAACTTTTCAAACATGGCTGACAATTTCTTCAACACAAGCAGACGATGCTTTGTCAGATAGTTGCACATGCGCACAGACGGGTTGTAAACAGGATCAGCAATTACCAAACTCAAGTTGATTGGCATGCGTGATAAATTTCAAGATTTGCCAAATGTTGATGTGAATGTCAGTGATGGGTGTGTGGTTGTGACAGGCGGTCACGGTTTGTTTATGGCAATTCACGCGTTTTTTTCTTTTTATCACAGGATAACTTAGGTGTAAGTGGTGAATATATTTCCACTCGATCGAAGCTACAGTATAGTCCTCAAATAAAACGATTTCAACTTAACATCGTTTCACACAGTACATCCATGTAAGCAAAGAGATGTTTTGATACTTATGTACTAGCACTTTTCTGAGCGATTTTGTTTTTACATGGCAGGGGGTCTGTTGGCGTTCTACCTGTGTATGGTTCTCTATCTGTACGGGGATCTGGCCATTTACGCCGCAGCTGTACCAGTGTCACTCAGGGACGTAATATGGTAGGTCAAGCTCAAAGGTCAAAGGACGACCTGTATTTAACACCCAACATTTATGGTTCCATGATCATACATTTATTTAACTAGGAATAATAGTATAGAATTCGTTAATTAAAATCGTATATATGTTGCTCTAAGGATATTGAGACAGTCATTTACAAAGTTAGTAAATTGTAAAGAAAGAATATAGACTTGATGATTTTCCTAAACCACTTACAGTACTTCGTGGCAATACAAGATATGCGTTGGTCATATGACGACTATAGTACTAAAAATAGACTGCAGTCACTTCCATGTCTCATTAGCTTAGGACAAAGTGAAAAGGTCATGCTTCCATTAGGGGTTACGCAGTAATCGTCCCTGACCATGCTGTTGGACAAAGAATGTCATTTTCTTTCCCTTAACCTGCAAGTGTGCCAATGAAACTTGTATAGACGTCCGGGAACAGTTCATAGGTTTGGTCCTAACACCCAGGGGAAAATAGTTTTAGTTTGACTGTTGACTGATAAGGCATGAAATTAATGTTCTGTTATCTCATCAGTGAAAAACAAATGTTTCCTAACATTACCTTATCATTAACTCCTCTAAACCGGAATCGATGATGCAATCTACAGAAACTGTTTAACTGTTTAAAATGTATCTGACTATTTTTTATGGGCTTAAGCCTGTTGCTGTCAGCCAGTCAAAGTTTGACATGCAACTGACGAAACTACGGAACCGGCCAATAGTTTTGACTGTTAACTGGTTTGATTTTTTATTTGATTAGTCGAAATTGTTTCACTGATATTTATCTATTGATTAGGTATTCAATACTTAAATTCGAAATGAGTGTCTTTTGGTTTATAAACGTATACATGTAGAGCGTCTTCACAATTTTATTTCCAGCACCTATAAACTACCAAACGTGACAGAGGCGTGTAATCATTCCCTGAAACTGACCGACAGTGACAATTGTTGGGAGGGCAGAGACATTGACAGAGGTCAAGCCTACAGAATATGTCTGGTGAGAGGACGATTTTAATTTTGGTATCATGTACAGTTTATGAAACAAACAAACAAATTTAAGTATGAACCATAAGAATATATTCATATTGTTTGATGCTTTCTATTTACATTCAGTTCTAATAGCTTAGTGTTACCGTTCCTTCTCTTTTTACTACAGACGATTTTCTTTGTGACCGGAGGCCCGTTTGTTTTCTTCAACATCCAGAAAACCAAGTACCTCCAACTCTTCACTACAGTGATGCGATGGCTCTGTAAGAATTTTTCTTATATCTTTAAATTTCAAAAGTTAAACTACATGTATACATTGTTGTACATTTTCTTCAGTAGTATTCCTATTTGAACGTATTACATAGTGATTCAAATTCTGGTCTATATCTGTATTTTTAGTTATCAAAATCAGAGTCTCTGTTTCATTTCAGCCTTTGGAACCATGGTTGTCCTTGCCGTGATTCGATTGAGCAAAGGTCAAGGTCAAGGTCATCCAGAAGCGGCAGATTTCTCAGGAATACCAAATCTTTTTGGAGTGTGTGTTTACTCCTTTATGTGCCATCATTCTCTCCCAAGTCTCGTCACCCCGATAAACAACAAAAAAGGATTGTTTAGACTTATTGGACTAGACTTTCTTCTTATTCTTGGATTTTATGCTTTGATTTCATTTACAGGAATATTTGCTTTCAACAAACTCAACGATTTATACACATTGAATTTTCTCCCAGACCCATGTGACTCCTCTGAGCCAATCACAAATGTCGCAGTGATTCAGTATTTTCTAGCTTTGTTTCCTGTCTTTACTCTCAGTACCAATTTTCCAATTATTTCCATCACATTGAGAAATAATCTTAAAACGATGTTTTATAAAGGTGACTCCAATCCTTTTCCCTGGGTTGTAGATAGAATTGTATTTCCTTTAGGGGCCATAATACCTCCTTTTATAATTGCATTTTGCACAAGTCAAGTGGAGTTTCTTGTCGGGGTCACGGGGTCATACGCAGGCGCAGGGATTCAATATGTTATACCAGCGGCCCTAGTGTATTTTGCTAGAAAAGACATGAACAGAAGAGCTCCAAATTTGCAGAACCCTTACACCTCACCATTCAAACACAGAGCGTGGGTATGGTTCGCGTATACATGGGCAACGGTATGTATGGTGATCGTGTCGGTCAACCACATAATTACGGGTAAGTAGGTCAAAATTCAATCTTTTCTTAAACAGATATTTCGTTCAGTTTTTAGGGTGCTTTATATAGGTAAAGACAAGAGTTCCCTCCCGTCACTGTAGACCACTGGTGACTGGGGAGTGAATTTTATAAACAATAACTTGATATACTATCTGATAAAGGAATATTGACTTTTAACAATATGCCAAAGATAGCTTAAATTCAGTATATACATTAGTACAAATAAATGATATCTATAAATTCTTAGTTGTAAGTTCCATATATGGGCATCTGTTTTAAATTTTATTTTTTTAATGAATTATTTTACCAAAAGCAATGTTTGTTCAGTATTTGGCAAATATATTTGACTGCCAAAACCATGACAACCCAATGTTTTGTCATACTGACATATCTGAATGTGAAGTTGTTAACATTAGATAGTTTAATCAGAATCATTTCTACATCCGGTCTCATATCAGTGCTAAAACTTGAGGCAACCGAGAACCGTATTTTCTCGTTTACGGAAAGTGCCGACGGTTCCCGATTGGAACTTGAGGGTCTCTTTGGAAATTCTAGAATCGTCTCCAACATTTTGAGTATGAAAATACAACAACAATTTGACTGCCTTTCTTAGCAATTTTCTGTGTTCTTTTGAAGAAATTTGGACATTTTTTATTCAAATTTCTTCACGTGTTTTTACTTACATCAACTGGAGGTTTTGGTTGTCCATTTTTAAGTAAAGGTAAAGAAATAACGATTCCAGAATAGTTGCTGGTAAAAGTATCACAAATATATTGCCTTGGTTGGTAGTTCATTTTGTCCCTCTCTCCCTCTAAATCCGCTTTGAGGACAGTAAGCATCTATCTATCAAAAAGGAAAATATATAATTCTACTAATTCATTGCGATTCCGCTTTTGAAATGCACTTACTTGGTACGGAGCCGGTTTAGTTTCATCTTTCTTAGTTGTGATTACAAAGGGAAGCAACTCGGATAAACGGATAAATGAGAATGGTATTGTTATGACATTGCTCAAGAAAGATTGTTTCAGTTTAGTATTCCAGAAAGCATTGTTTTAAAACAATATATTTTTTAAATAAGTAAAAAGGAATCTGCTGTGGACTCTCTTAAAATTTTGTATCAGTAATTGTTCACACTTGGTGACACATTCAGTTTCATTACATCACAAAAATAGTTATTCCTAGCTTGTTTTTTCAAATATTTCCAGAAGTGTTCATTTTTCATTGTAGTGTACATTATAAACAATAAAAGTTTCAACTCATGTTTGATCAAATGTATTTATTTTAGAATTATCAGTACTTTTTTATGTGCCAAAACTTTTTTTATGTTTTGTACATGACTGAGAATGCATTACCGTCGTTTTACAAAAATGTTGTGGACCACATTCATGGTACTTCTCCTTTTTTTCGACATTGATATTTTATTTCTTGAATTTCCATTATTTTTGTGTTCTATAACATTTTTTGTTCATTCTGTACTAAGACGTCTTTCATTATGACGTCACAATCAAATATAAACTTCTCTGCAGTATTTAGATCTCAACTTACGAGGGTGAAAATGTTGTTTAAAACGTATGTATAAATCACAATACACAAAACTACCTTTCTAAAACTTTTTAATTTATCAGGTAATAAACCGATATAGTGTGACCTATATGTGAACGGGTGATTTTCCTGACAACTTGACATCCGATTTAGGTAGACTGCACTATATGAGCATGTTAGGTTAATCGGATCTCAGGGACCTGAGAATTTGGTACAGCTACATATATTTGGACTTGAACTAAGGTGTTTAAGAGAAATTGTACACATTTTAGGGGTTTGGATAAATTTTCTGCAAAACTGTCACCACCATGATGACATATATAATAAGAGCATGGGGTGGCATTGTTACAGAAAGTTTATCTAAACCTCTAAAACGTGTAAAACTATACTCTGAACATCATATTTTAGGTCCAAATATAGCTGTAACAGTTTCTCAGGTCCCTGTACATCGAACAAGTAGACTTAATTCTACTGTCGGTTTACGTACTGCATGTCTTGCTTTTGGTTGTGACGTCATAATAGAAACACTAATGCAAGGGAACATGTTGAGTTGTTTTTCTGGCAAAAGAAAATGTCATGTGAACGAAAGTATCTTACACTCCTGGACGGTGTTGCTTATAATATGAAATTACATTAATGTTATATTGTCTCATAAAACTCGTGTTGCTCGCTCCACTTATTGTTATTCTACTGTATTTATATGTGATACTATGAATTTTGTGGAGGATATGTCCAATTGGAAAAATGTTTATTATGATAAAGAAAGAAATATTTCAAACTTGCACTGGGTTTATTACTTTTTTGAAATTGAGAAAACTGTTTAATTTCCTTTATGTTGACAAAAATTGACTGTGAAATCGGTCAGTATTTGCTTTTATTGAGTCTTTGATTCTTTGTTGAGTTGTATGATATTCACATAGATTCCATAAGGGATATGATGTGACGTCACTATGTTTATTCTCCGTTAATTCTCCGAAGAATCAGTCTTCAGATATTGTAACAGTTTCCAACATTATTAAACAGCGCTACAAACTTCTTCCGGAATATGTTGTCTGAAAAGAAATCTCCAATATAATACGTTTTACAGTATCAAGTGTTTCGACAGGAAATGAAGTCGGGTATTAGACAGATCATTGATCAATTCAAAACGACAAATAGTGACCTTTAAGAATGTATTTTAATTTCATCTCATTTCCAATCGAACTGTATAGAAGTATAACAGGCATGCGAGGAATGGGAAAACAAAGGTCCCAGAAAAGGATTTTTCTTATACAGGAAGACTGAAAATTCGAAATATGTTCGACCGTTTGTTCATGTCATATTAAAAGGTAATACTGAAGATTGGACGAAACTGTCTACACTGAATCTCATTAATCCAAAATTCTTCACAGAATCAAATGATTTTAAAGAACTTTCCGGAAGCTTTTTTTTCAGGAGAAGAATCGCTGTTACGGAAAATGTATTATTTCGATTATTATAATTGAAAGAAACACACACATTTTTTTTTGCATGGATTGATGAGATTTCAATGTAAAAAAATACGGACATTAAATACTATGATTATGGAAAAAATAACAAGTTTTCGACTTGAGGTAGGTTTACATAGTGAAAAATTCTCTCGCCAAGAATTAAATTCTGAGATATAGATATCAAAGTTGATGAATCTTATTGAAGATCTGAGATATAGAATTTCCTTTTATCTAAATATGAAATTTGGATAATAATGTTGGATTTGTTCTCTGCAAAATATAGAGATATCCTTTCCATTACAGATGCCACAAATAAAGTCGACAATTCTGGCAAAGCGGAGTTGAAATCATCAAGATTCTTTAATGGATCACAAAATGTACTTATCACAGATGGCTTAAAAAGCTGAATAGAATAGCTATATGTTTGATAAAAAATACAAAATATCACAAATGCTTGGTAATGGTATATATCGGAAATATAGAACAAGACACAAGAACTCCGTATACGGAACACATATAACAAGAAAATATGTAACACAGCCGATTTCGAGGATTTCAACGACAATTTGAAATAGGATATTTGAGTGCACGTGAGATAAATTGTACCGTAACTACATACCACAGTCACATGCGATCGAGAACGAGAAAATCGCTTAACAAGGAAATTATCGTTTTTCTTCCTTCCCAGTTAACCATAATATCCCGTTTTCCCCAAATTCAACGTCATATTACAAATCATGGACAATTTAATTTTTAAAAAGATGTGTTTTTTACACTCAATTTGATAAAAACAAATTTCTGGTTCATGATCCCTGTGACGCAGTGAAACACTGACCGAATTACCCATAATCCCAAGAATACACTAGTACATATAATTATTAGTATAAAGTGAATACCAGGCATAACAGATACTGCAAACAGTTTATGTTATCGGTTGATACGTTTGATAAAAAACCATTGTGACATAATGCATGGTTGACTTGCCAAAATATTATTTCTATCAGACGTAAATAGATTTTAGTAACACATGTTTACAGTTCATTGACGGAAGTGTTTAAATTCAAATTTTAGACAAAAACCAAACTATTTGTAAATTTTGTTGTGCCGATAACAGTAAAATATTAGCAATAACAGGAAGCAGGAATGATATGATATATATTCTTTTAACGATTTTCATATCAACCGTTTTCTTCAATGCAATGAGTAGGTATTCATGTTTAATTGGCAAAACATAGGGTTGTGTAGAAAGAGACAGTAAATGATTGCACATATTTCATAAACACTGATCATGAATTGAAAAAAATGACTCAAATATATATTTCTTCAAAACAATTGTCCTGTGATTGTGGTACCACAATTCCTCCGAGAAGCAAGCACCATAATTATATCCATATTTAGGAATAAACTTTTTAGTTATCAATCCGCTCTTGAAGTTATTAAAGACTTTCATGGTGGTCTTACACTCACTTTTTATCATAAAGGTCCCAGAATTCGTTGTCTTTTTCATTTTTTGGCGCCAAAGTCACTTTTTCCGGTTGAGGCGGTGGCGGTGTGATTGGGGGTGTTTTGAAAATCACTTCCTCAAAGGCAGGCTCTTCCGGTTTAGACTTTGTAGTTGGCTTCTTCGGTTTTGGCTTAGGTTTTGGTGGAGCCGGATCAGATTTCGGTTTTGGCTTTGAAACGGCCCCCTTTTCCCAGTTCCGCTCTGCTTTTGGCATAGAGCTTAAGAACTCCCGAAATGATTTCCGCATCCGCTCGTACAGAATATTTTGCTCCGCCCATGTACCTGATATGTAGGAAAAGTAGTACCATAGTAGTCCTGCATGTGCCATGTGAAAATTAGGTGCAACACAAAGATATTTCAATAAATGTAGATAAACACATTTTTGTTATAACGTTTTCTATGACTGAACTGAAACATGCATTACGTACAAAGTTATTTAAATACGTAATAGTATAAAAATGTCTCTATCAATCTTTTTTCTGCTGTTTCTTAGCAAGTGTCTCCAAAAAGTAGGCTTCCCAAGCCTTTTTCATCCTCGTTTGAAGAACGTTATGTTCCGCCCATGTACCTAAAACAGAGGAGAAGGGAAAGGAACTTGTAGATGATAATGTTAGCAGTTTCAAAACAAGCAAACAGAATGGAGAAATGACTGGAAACTTGAAAGTTTGAGATTTTCCCATTCAAAATCATAATTTAAAATTTCTTTCAATAAAATATTAAGCTTTTCTCTTTCATATACTAGATTAAGATGAAAGATTTTCTTATTTATTTCATTTCAATACATGATCATGAGTGCTCCTCTATGAACAGTTGTGAACTAAGAGAAGTGATTGCAAATCTTGAAAACAAATGTCGAGAAACCTCAAACGTTCAAGCGTTTAGAAAAAAAGTATGTCGGGGAGGGAAAACGTGATGGTAGTTTGAAATTCGAATAATCCGGAGACGCCAGATAACTACATTCTAAAATACATCTATGTAATATTTCATGTTCTTTTATGACCGGTAACAATAGAGTTAACTTAGAAAACAGAAAGTGCCCAGAGCAACGACGTTCCAGTGTATACACCGGACTATCCGATTCAAAGTTAAAGCCTCGCTTATTGTCGTGACGTAAACTTTCGTGAACAGCCCTGAGAGTGTTCTACAACCCTGCAAATGTGTCTACACATGACACATACTATGAATTTTTACAAAAGAATTTCTGAAGTCGTTGATAGTCAGTACGTACTTAAACGATCTGAATGTGACGATTGACCCCATCATCATACGTTTGACCTCTTTAATATGAACCAGGGCCCGTCTGTTCATGAAAGACAGTTTTGCAGTGAATTTTCGTAAGGAATTGTAAAAACTGTCAAATTCATAGTCTGTGAAAGCAATGCAATGATTTGACTTTTGACCCTTTAGCCAAAACCTTAACTTTAACAAGGTACGAAGTGAAAAGTGCTAGCCAACACTTTGTATGTTCATGATATAAATGTCGAAACTCATAAGAATGTTTGTTTTCAATTTATTAAGAGCTCTCAACACAAGCATATAAATGTGCACACGATATATCTATGTATGACATGTTGTCCTTACTTATCTAAGAGAAATCCTATTTCATTTTTTTTCAATTTTCACAGTAATGTTAATAATATACGGCAGAACCCCCTTAATTTGGATACCGGTAAGAATACCCTAAAAGGGTATCCGGATTAATATATGCTTACAATGCTTCAACATCCGGTATTGACATCACTTCCGGTAAGTAGCGATTTCAGTTCAGACACATTTTGTTATTTTTGATTCAAAAATATCTAACAGATTATTTCGTGCAGTTAATTCTACATTTTTCAAAAAATCAATATGGATATTAAGTGTGATGATTGCAAGACCAAACAAAATAGAATTGGCTTCCTTTTGCATTCTTTAAGCAACTACAGTGCAGTAGTAGGCACACGATTTATAGTGAAAACAATGCTTTACAGAAGAGAGAGGGATATTTCTAATATTATTGAGCAGCATTTAAGGCATAAAAAAGGGAACATACAAATTATTTTCAATTGGCTTCGTATAGATTTTTATATTACTGTCTTTCACGGCAAGTCGTGCATGGGTTTTTGAAAATTCACACTTGGAATGGATAAACAAGCACTGGTACCAATAAACATGTTAATTAAAGCAAAGAATGGTGAGGTTACGATGAGGTTCAAAAGGGACCATTGAGTTACAAGGTACTGCTAAAAACTAATGATCGCACGGTTTCGTGAATGTGGTGGGATTAATAATTGTATCGGGTGTAATGTAGAATATATGGAAGATAAAAAGAGAACATGTATATTCAAGGTAGAGAAGTTATTTTCAAAAAATCTCATTTGAACGAAACGCTTTAAACGTCGTCAATACGAACAGTGGAACAGTGTTATACTGGACACTATCGTTTCTGACACTTAAACGTTAGGCAAAACCTAATAACACATAATTATCCGGAAAGCAGAATTTTGATTTTTCCACATCTTGGGTCCAGATTGGTAGGTTTCCAATGTACGTACATGTATATATGTTAGTTTTTTTGATAGTATGGATTTCGCAATAACGAATTCGTCGAGGAATAACTTGAGCTACATAGGAAAAGGGTAAATAACGTCAGTTTTTGGAAACATTAAAATACACATATTCGTCTACAGTTATTGTTCATGCGTGCAGTATTAATTAAGGTAGAAACACACCCAAAAGGTACAGCCACACGAAAACGACCAGGATACTTACTGAGTTCGTCCCTCTGATAACGCCATTGGTCCGGATCAGGGTATCGCCTTAGATGTACGCTATCATCGTACGCTAACTTCATCATACTCTTCTTGTGATTCATCGTATAACCGGGAAAGATGTTTTGGCGCATGGCATTTCCGAGCATTTCGTATTCCGGTTTTAATTCCTTATCCATATCGGGAATATCCAGGTGCTTACTTGGGCGCAACAACCGCTGTTTTCGCAATTTCTCTTCATTTACTGTCTTTTCGACTTTCTTTTCGTCAGATAAAAGAAAATCACAAACTTTGCTACCGAACTGATGACGAATATTCGGTGGCAGTGATACAATACTACGCGGTTGCGCTGCTGGACCAGCAGACGTGTGACGTGGAGTTTCGGTTGGAGCCTTCCGGTGTCGTTCACTATGACCTACATACGCCGGGTATTCTGTTTTTTCTCGCCTTATGGTCTCCATGCCGGGCCGCAGAATGTCCCCACACAAACTATACTGGTGCATAGGCGCTCTGTGGCCATATTTGTCCCTGTTGTAACTATTTCTGTCGTTTAAGCCTACGTAATTCATTTCCCTGGCAGCTTTTAAGGCGTTATCCGACATAGACAATGGGGATCTGCCAGATCCTGCTCTCTGAGGCACACGAGTGATGTTTTCCGTGTCAAAGTTTAATGCACCGAATTCCATGTTTTCAATGGCCCTCTTTGTCTTCAATAATTCGTCTTTCTGCTTTTCTATCTCTCCTTTCGTTGCTTGTACGACTTTATACTCTGAAAGACAAAATTAGTATAGGTTACCACTAAGACTTGTGTAGAAAAAACATCAGGGACTGAACTATGGTAATTAATTCTGAACCTTAACCGACAATAACACTTTTGAAACAATGTGTCATGTTTTTGTCGAATTGTCTAGACGCATCGTAAGTTTAACGCAATCTTGACTGCAGAAAAAAACTTTGAAAAAATAGTAAACATTCAACGATCATTTCCGTGTTTTCTGTCTTCCATGTGTGGCTGCTATCATTCCAAGTTAAAAACACGTGTTGTATATATTTTCCTTCTTTTGCATACTCATACCTAGTAAAATTAACGTGATTTTTTTTTCTGAAAATAAAAGCTAACTAGGCTTAGAATAATTGTGGTATTGGCTTCATGGTTGTTACCTCCTATTCACACAAGAACTGTGACGTAGATCGTTTGTGTGTAGATTCGCAGTGGACACGGTATATTATGTTGTCATTAAACTGAGATGCATTCAATACAGAACTAACTTTACATTCTTATATTACTAACACAAGGGAATATGTACATTTTTTACAGTATTTAGTTTAAAGGATTTGCGTACCACTGCCAAAATCTGAAACTTGGCATTGGACTGTCTGTGTTGGTTTTCTGATTTTTTTCTTCTTATTTTGCATGACTATTAATTTTGATCAACTTTTTGATAAATGATTTCCGAAAAGAAGAAATATACGAAATATAACCAATAACAGTGTAATGACAGGAAAACAGCATGTTTTGTAGGTTTTGTATTGTTTTACGGCCCATCGACAATTTGAGTCATTATAGAAATTTACAAAAAACTGAAAACACGAAAACCAGAAACAAAAGGTTAAAATGTGCAAAAGACGTCAAAATATATCAATAGCAAACGAATTTTTCATAAAATATATCATAGTTTATTATAGAGATTATTATTGAATGTAAATAAACATAGGCTGATTGCACAGAAACTGTATTAAATAAACAGTTCATAGAGGGTACATTATAAAATCTGTCAGGTAATTGTTTGAAATCAGCGCCTGCAGCGGGAAAGGAATCCTTGAATCGAACTCCACAATCAGCAAATTGAATATTGCTATTCAAGTTCCTTAAATTATCTACATGGCGTAAAAATGGAAGAATAGAAAAAATACATAAGCCACCCTAACACTTTTTTTCTAGACTGGCTTCACTATGTCGCCGACTTCAATCACTTTTTACAATTCGATGACCGTTAATGAACTTGCTGTGTCGAGGGACCATTATAAACGATAAACAAATTAATTTTATCAGGAAATTTATTACTCCGGAAAATTTTCCGGAACTGAAACGGTTCAGACTATACCGCGTCTCTCGATTGTTTAATATAAACGTGGATTATTCATCCAGATCGTGAGTTTAACATTCAGACAAAATATGTGTTCCATGTATCTGCATGTAAAGTATATCTACTACCTAAGTTTTATATTACAAAGAAATCATACACAATAGTTCAGATAATAGCCGAGATCGTAATTAATGCCGGCTTATCAAATGACTATATCAAATAAGAATACGACACCCTTACACATTTTCTACATTATTATCCACAGGGATTTGTATTTTATACGTAAACTCAGATAGAACTAGCACCTACCTGGCATATATATTTTAAAATCAATATTATTTATTTAGAAATTAATACAAACCCCTTCGATATCTGATCGATGTTTCAGACTCGAAACACTAAAAGAATACACATATTTTTTTCGATAATTCCATCATCAAACACCACATACATTTAGATGGTGCTAAGATTATATACCAATGTGTTATTACACGATTAGAGCTATACTATCAAATGTTGTCATTACTTCTATCGTTTTTAAGATCTGCATGTAATTAATTACCATTAAAAAAAATCAATTAATTGGTTAAATAATGACAAACAAATATTTGATAAACAATTCACTCATCAGCAGATAAATTATCTTGAAGGCGTCAAGCAAGTTATCACTGCAAATATGTACCTTTACCACCATGCAGGTAAGAGCTAGGCTGACAAACATATGTACGGTCCTTCATCAGACACATATCTATTTAGATATGGAAATAATATCTGGTTTGTATTATAAAGAGTCGGACTTAACTCCGGATAAAACAGTTGTACTCGTTTCGATTTATGTGAGCTATTTTAAGGTGTACATTTTAACTTGTACATGTTCATTTAGCATGATGATACATCACAAATGTAATTTAGTATCAACATGAAGCTTTAATCTGGTGAGATTTGTTTTTAGAAATTACAACAGGTGTGCTACAAGGCTGCTTACTTGGTATTTCTTTATTTACATGTAACGTTTTAAACTTGAAAGTAGGTGTTTGGCTTACATTGAGAAATCCTTTGACCCAAGCCTCTATTTAATTTCTGACACAGAACTTAGCCTTAATTTAAAAGGCATTAATGTTATATATAGATACAGAGAATCAGGTACAGTGTAAAATGTATCAACTATGTTTATAATAAAGTATTCTCTACAGCTGATGTATTGTTAAAGTATGGTCTTATCGCTTTGTCTAAGGAAATAGAACTGGTCTGGTGGAAAAATGACAATTCAGAAACTGTCAATCGGGGATAGGCTGAGATGAGTGATCGACGGGGTTGGTAAAGGGGTGGGGTCAAGAATTTCAGGGAGGGTGATTGTTACATTGTCACTATATAGTACAGATTTGGAAAAATTAGTAGATAGGTTTGAAACTGTTTTGCGTTGTTTAAACTTTGTATAAAGATACAATTATACAACAAATTCACACATGCACACACACACCTTTCATTTGTGAACGTAATTCTTCAGGAAGTTGGAAGCGTCCTTTCCGACGGAGTTCCTTGTTTTTCGAAACATCGATTTTCTGAATTCGATCCATCTCGTCCTTGGTGTGAATCTCCAGAGAGGATCCGAATAGAGAGTGTTTTGGCATGGCATCTGTCCGCCGAGCCCTCGCGAGCTCGGTCAGATCTATAGGCGACGCTGCTAATGCGGTCGCCATTTTGCTCTCTGAAAAAAAAATATAACAGCATATTTCTTTATTCCGAAACAGTTTCTGTTTTACTCTTAGCATGATTCTTTATTCGGAAATAGGATCTATTGCAATAAAATGAAAATCTATTTTGATTTCAACGCGAATATATTTTGGAAGTGCTTTTCCAAAGGGGTTAGAAAGGAGCATTGCTTTTTTGTGCATTTTATTACCTTCATATAACCACAACTCAAAACATTAATAACTGAATATACTTCATGGGAAGTGAATTCAATACATTAGCAGATCTTAACAATAACAGACTTTCTTAAATTGTCTCTAAAAGGCAACTGAATGCATATATCCATTGAAAGCCATCAAATAAAATATCACCAAAATGAGGTACTGTGCATTTTGAGATAATAGCTACAGATACGGCTTTTCAGCTATAGTTTAATGTGGGTTTCCTTAAATTATGTCATGATAAAATCTAATCTAATGTGAAATGAATTTCCTGCGCAGCCATTGTCTAATGAGAAATCGTTTAACTTTTCTATTTTGTTTGTGAATGAATTATATAATTTTATACTTCTTAGCAGATGATACATATATATATGCCTTGTCAACAAAACTTCAGTAATACATTTGGGAGAATAAGAACGTGTGCATGTCGTTTTTACATTGCCAACACTTGTTGAAAGCATTAAAGTGAGGTGGTGTGGGGGTAGCTTCAGGCAAACCAAATCCCGCTTCTTTAAAAACATTTCCCCCCTTCTGCAACACAAACACCCCCTTCAGATCAGATCATCATTAAGAAAATACATGTAAAAGTACATGATTTTTTTTCCCGAAAGTTTAAAGTTTATGCTTAAGTTAATTTAAGTGCAGGCATAGATAATTGAGAAATTTGAGTCGAAACTTTTTGATTGTTTATTTGGATGAGTTGGATATAAAATACAGATTATCTATATTCGTTTGAACAAGATTTAAGGTGACAGAACATTCCTATGCTGAGAAATAAAATAAGCTTGCATGTATACATGTTATAGGCATTTGCCCAGGTAAATTTATCACCTGTGACAAGTCTCGTGCTATCCGATCAACAGGTTATCGTACCGAATCAAAACGTGCTATCTGATCAATCGGTGTATTGTTTTATTAATGATTTAATGATCGAGCTTAATCAGACGAACCAATAACCGCGAATGAGATTTTATTGAATAACCACAATTGATTGACAGGGTTCATGTTTCCAGACGTACAACCCAACATAACATCTGCTCCCTCGACAGATGATTACATTCTAACCACATGAAAATTTATTGTAAACCTCACTAGGTCCCCTATGTGTTGCACGCCTTTCGCTAAGTATATGTCATACATAATTAAAGGAAACTGGTCGAAAAAGCAGGCCTAATATGCACTTCACGGGGTTATTGATTATGATAAACGTGATAACAATCACACATTTCACATGCCAAAATGTCAATCAAATCAAGGCAAAACCACTGACGACACAGCAAGTGTCGAAGGAGCCTACCTCACATCACCCGTGCACCCGGTCAACTTGTGTCTGGCGCTGCAACCGTCGACAGAGCGAACGAAAGGCGATACAACGTTCTTCCTTGTTCTTTACACTATATTCACCAAGCAAGCTGATGTCGTTGTCAGGGGGCGTTCCCTAATCGTGGATGCCATTTGGTAAGCCTCGGACTATTTTCATGAATTATGAGTCAACACCAAATGAGTTCCGATCGATTGAATGGCGCGCATTAATTGTGACGTAGTACACACTTCCGGTAATAGTTATTGAAGGAGATAAGCCGTACAGGTAACATTATTTCTGATTATCTTATTTTATCTATGAAATCATTCAACAACTTGTGAACATTTCTATTTATAAAAGATATAATTCGTTTTGCTTAACAATTTCATCAGATTCAACAATGTTGGCAATTGTTTCACAAGTTTTTGTCAGAATATTCAAGCATAAAACACTAGCTGCGATAACGTCGCTTTCTGACGACGAGAGATTTGTTTTATATATATTGCGTCGTCAGCAACCATTTCATCAGATTTTGTCACTTAGACACAGAGTTTGTAAAATATTTCTACTGTGAGAGTTTCAAAAAATATCGATCAGGTGTACAATGCCCTAATCAGATTAGCCTACTGAATTCCATGGTCTTACTCACTTTTCAGTTCAAAGACCTTTGGCTTCCTACGTCGAAATACATCTTCGTGTACTAGGAAAGTTAAATCACAGGCATACACTACTCTTGTAAGACCAGTTTTAGAATATGCCTCAACTTGTTGGGTCCCTATTCCATCAACCGCATACAACAATTAGACAATGTACAAGCTTTTGCCCTTCTTTGTGATAAAGATTCCCAATCTAATGATTTCATCATGTTTGTAATACAGCCTGTTTCTCTAGACCTGTACTCGTTGTACATTGTCTAATTGTTGTATGTCTTAAAGTTGTCCATCACAGTATTGTCCACGAGCTGTTGTGATTCCATGTCTTGATGGTGTTTGGAAAGGAGTGTTAGTAAATCTGGGTTCTAGAGGGTATAAGGGATCATGAAACTTTAGAAAGTCCTCTGTTGGCTGAGTGTATTGGCTAGTGATATTGCAACAAGATGTGACTTCATCAGGCCCATCTTTCTGACATTGTTGGTCACTTCATCTCATGGAGGGATGCAGGTGTAGTTGAAGTAGTTGTTGTTCATGAAAAATGCTGATTTTCTTTGCACTACCTCAAGTTTGTTGGTATTGTCCTTGGGCACAGACCAAACAAGGTTGGTTTAATCAATAATGTAATTGTTTTTTTCTGTTTTTAGGTCTAAACATTTTACTCTCAAAACCAAAGCAAGCAAGTAAACAAGAACAGACATGGCCAGCCGTTATCTCACCCGTATATCCTCCAGATTTGGAGCACAGATGAAACCATGGCGGACATCAAATGTGACATTTGCTGTCTTTCAGCGGTGTACACAAAATAACATCTCTGTCACAGCACCCAAATGTTTGTCTACAACACCCGCCAGAATGTGTATAGTGCAGACCAAGTTTGAGGCTTTCAATGTTCAGGATACAGAAGACTACAAGAAGAGAGTGATGGAAAGTGATATCCCAGTTGTTGTTGACTTCCATGCTTCGTAAGTGGTTGAATTTCATTCTCCTTACGAAAGTTTCAATTACCTGTAATGATCACTCTTTCACTGAGAACAAGTCTTTTTAGGTTGTCCCTATAGCATTTGGACTCAATCTTAATGTGCATTTACAAACAGAGACTTTGAATCCGATTCTGATATTGGTCTTGACACCTTAGCTTTATAAAATAAAAAAGGCTTGCATGGCACTAAAATCTAGCATAGGTAGCTATATGGGAAGTAGAAACATGTGTTTAGCCTCTCTGGTACTTTTTTAGACTTGATAATTTGATCAATGTGTATGATCTTCTTACTACAAATCTGGAATGATCCTTTTATGATCAGCTTAACCCTTTCACCACTGTGGACCATAATGTACTCATCCATATCAATGCATGGTAGAGTCTACTAAGTTACATAGGGGTGAAAAGGGTTAAAGTGAAATCTTCATCAACATTGGTATCTAAGCATAATTTCCATAGCCTCATAAACTGACAGACATAAATGTATTTTGACTGTTTTTTATCAGGTGGTGTGGTCCATGTAAGCTGTTAGGCCCACGCTTAGAATCTCTCATCTCAAGTAAAGGAGGAAAGGTTGCCCTAGCAAAAGTGGATGTGGATGAAAACACAGACTTGGCCATTGAATATGGGGTAAGGCAGTCCTTGACTATTAATTGGCAGTAATGAGATGGCTATTGAGTTTGGGATCATGGGGAATAACAGTGCATGGGTGTTGAAAATGGGACAAGTCTGTCCTTGTCTATTGAATATTGGGTAAGGATATGTACTTTGACAATGGGGTAGGTCAATACTTGGCTATTTATTATTGGATAAATAAGTTCTTGGCTATTGAATATGGGGTAAGATGGTATTGGTCTATTTATTGAAGATGTGTAAGGTAGAACTTGGCTGTTGAATTTGGGATGAGGTGGTACATAACAGTTATGAGTATGGGCCATGGGGCAAGTAAAAACTTGACTATTGAATATGGGGTAAATTTGTACTTTGCTATTGAATGTTGGATAACTTATAACTTGGTTATTGAATATAGGGTTAGGCTGTATATATGTGGCTATTGAATATGGGGTAAGTCAAAACTTGGCTATTAAATATGGGGTAACTTAGAACTTAGCTACTGAATGTTTGGCAAGTTAGAACTTGGTTATATAGTATGGGGTAATGTGGCGATTGGCTGTTGGGTAAGGCACAAATATTACAACTGAAACCTGTCTACACTAGACACCACAGAGACCTTATCGATATGTTTCCATTTGTAAAAGATAACTTTTCCCAGTAAACCTTGAGACCTAGATGGTTTTTTTTTAATTATTGGATTCAGTAGGGTCCTGATTAAACAAGAACATACATGTACTAGACAATATCAGAAATTGGTTTCAGAAACTAAGACCCCAAATTCTTGACCTTGCAAATTTAAGTTCTACACAGTATAACATTGCCAGAGTGATTGCTTGAGATTATTTAAAAACTTTACAAGCTTTCTACAAGCATTTTGATATTCATATTCTATTTTTTTCAGGAAACTTAAATTCATTATGTTCCATATATTTTTTTGGTAATGTAAATAATGTAAAGACTTGTTTTCTTCACTTTCGGTTCTCAAAATAAGTAATATTTCTAACATTACAAAATCCTTTTTAGATATTATAAAGTGCAGTATTTCAGATTTTGATAGTATTATTATAGTACTTGTTTGAAATTTAATAGCCTAAAAAGATAAATATAGAAACTAAAATGCGAAGGAAGATATTCATAAACATACTATGTCTTCAGAAAATGATGACATTTTACAGATTTGTTTTCTTCTCCAAAATTGCAGGTTAACAGTGTACCTACGGTCCTTGGAGTAAAAGATGGACAAGTTCTGGATAAATTTATCGGACTACAAGAGGATGATGTACTAAATACATTTATTGAGAAGTTGATCTGCTGAGTGGTCAGGGCAATGTAAGGAGAGATTGAGCTAACATATAACATGGACAATAACTGGGAAGTTGTTCCCTGAGAGGTCTGAGGAGTGTAAGGAGAGATTGAGCTCACATGTAACATCGACAATAACTGGGATGTTGTTCCCTGAGAGGTCTGAGGAGTGTAAGGAGAGATTGAGCTCACATGTAATATCGACAAGAACTGGAAAATTTGATCCCAAAATTACAGAAATTATGTGAGACTTTACTTGAAATTGCAAAAAAAATGAATTTTAACCAAGACTTTTTTAAACACAAACTTTTCTTAGGTACTTGTAAGCAATATATGACTTGAGACCTTCTATGTAGATCTATAAAATTATTTTGGATTTGTATTTTGTGCAAAAAAAGAAGAAGGTTTTTGCTTCAGCATTAGAATTTTCATTTGTGTTGTGAGGAACAACTTTTCCAAGTATCCAATTTTGTTTATAAAATATATTTCCAATAATTTTTGTTCAAACGAGAGTATTATTTTCGCTTCATTTATGAGCATCTGTCCATGGCCAGTCTGCATCATTTTCTGGATAACTTTAAAAAGATTTAATAGTTCAGTGTTTTTCTGGGGACTTTTTGGTGCCGATAATGGGCCCCATTCGCAATTGAAATTGTTTCCCATTTACACCTAATTACAAAAATTTGCAGTTTACTCCTTAAAGATTTCTTCTCGTGCGGTATATTTTCTTTCCAAAATAAGACAAAAAGGCCCCATCCCAAATTAACAAAAATAAAATACTGGGGTAATACTTTTGTCAATTTCATTAGAATAGTAAAGGTGTGTAAGTGTTAAGTTATTTATGAAATCATATATTGGGCATTAAAATCATGTTGTCACAAAGATGTTGTATGGACTTTTACAAACTCATTGTGATAATAAACATGAGAAGTGCTATTTTGACAAATGATTACTGTTTATTGAATAATACTTAACGTGACTGCAGTTTGATTTGTGTTACCTTCATAGTTTTTTTCAATAGATGAATCAATGAATTGTGAATTTAACATGCTTCATGAATATGCCTGATTTTATTACAGTATGTTTACCATTGTTACTGCTAAAATCCATTTTTTGTACCATAGGGTTGAGTGTCACACTGTTTGACTGAAAAAAGAAAGTTTTGTTTCAAAGTATCTTACAGAACTTCATCAGCCCATCACCACAATATAGATCATGAATTTATCAAGCAGCATGAATATGGTATGCACAATTTCATGAAAACATTACCCTGTAGTACAGTTGTATATTACATAGTTGGGTATCATAGGCTTTTAGGTCACCTGAGCTTTGCTCAAGTGACCTATTCTAATGGCTTGTCGTCCGTCGTGCGTAAACTTTTTACCTTTTCAACTTCTTCTCAAGAACAAGTGGATGGATTTTTTTTCAAACTTGGTAAAAATCATCCTTGGTAGATGAGGCTACAAAATTGTAAATTTGGAATTCCTACCCCAACCCCTGGGGCCAGGGTGGGGGCCCAGAGGGAAAATTAACCAATATTTCAAAAATCTTCTTCTCCAGACTCAGAGGTACTACAGTCATTTTCTCTGCATGTAAAGAAAGATCATCAGGGGCTTTACTTAAATTGTAAATTTCAGGACCTCCGAGCTGTTCATTCTCCCTTGAGGAGGGGGTAAAGTTTACTATAGTTTATATAGGGAAATAACACTTTTGGGTATATTTTGACAACTTTCTGTACGAAATTATTTTTACTTGGTGAGAATTATCCTTGGAAGAAGATGGTTTCAAATTGTAAAATTGAAATTCCTACCCCAACCCTAGGGGCCAGGGCAGGGCCCCAAAGGGAAAATTAACCAATATTTCAAAAAAATTCTCCTCCAGACTCAGAGGTTCTACATTTTTTTTCTCTGCATGGAAAGAAAATCATCAGGGGCTTTATTTGAATCGTAAATTTCAGGACCCCCGAGCTATCCATTCTCCCTTGGGGAGGGGGTAAAGTTTACTATAGTTTATATAGGGAAATAACACTTTTGGGTATATTTTGACAANAATAAAGCTACCAGTACCTATGATATAACTCAGGTGACCGCTAAGGCTCTAGTTTGTATGATAGATCTGACAATTTGTTCAGATAAACTATAGGATGGTGATAATTTTCACAACAATTTGTAGTCTTTAAAAACTTTCAAAAAAGCATTTACAGGAAAAATTAAATAAATTATAAATACAAATAACATATACTAGTAGTAAATGGGGGAGGGTTTCCCCCGGATCAGGACAATCTCTATTCCCAAGCCCTTTGCAGAGAAGAGGCTGTAAGTATTACTGCTTTAGGGGGGCTTTGGGCTTTACCCCAAGCTTTCACAAAGTCCTGTATCTGTATCTGTGAATCAGTATTATAGTTGCCAGTAACATACTAATTATACATAAGGTTTCTACATCTAACCAAGGTTTACAATCATGGAACTACTTGGTATATATATTGGTACACATGTATTGATCAAAATTCAGGATTAGCAAGGATGAATTTTTCTATGTATATGAAAAAAATATTTGTATTGCATAAAGTTTACACCACCAAAGTAATCCACCGTATGGTTAAACTCTGTTTCTGATTTTCTTTTACCGGGTACATACAAGGTTATCTACATGTAATATAAATGTATAATGCATTTCTGTTCCGGAATCAGAGTCGTGTGAAATGGGTCCGATGTGCTCAATAGTGTTCTTAAAGTCCCAAAACTGGTTATTTGTTGTTTAACTAGCTTTTGTGACATTTATTTTTTTCATTTCTAAACATTTATGTTTTATGATTGTATGATGTCAGGATAAAGTCCCTAGACCAACAGCACTCTACTCCCACTCCTTACTACCTAGTAAAATTCAGTGAGGACTATCACAAAATACATATGATATAGTACAGTACTTTTCTCTTTCTAAAGAGAACATGGACCAGCAATAAATCTTATGTGAGTAGTATTAGTTGATACACACTTTTACTTTCGATGTGCAGACGGATCATCTGTGTATCAGTGTAAAAATTTGATGTTAAAAGTCTGATTCACAAGCCCCTGTGATGAAAACCGAATGAATCTGTACACCATTCTGTGTTTCAGCTTTGATGCTAGAAGTCTGTTATGTCAGTCCATGTGATGAAATTCACAGCCACCTGTAATGTTTAATGATTTTTGTTTAAGATAAAAATCAAATTCAATTTCTTTATTAAATTAAAGCTTTTCAGTATACATACAACAATTAAATACAAAGGCAGACACTGCAATAATGCAACAGAGGATGGTTAGAATATAGTTACATACAGTTTACCATTACATCGTGGTCTTTCTTTATTGAGTTACGCCATATATATATAGATTTTCCTGAACATGGTTAATTCCTTTTAATAAGTTGTATATATTTAGTGTATTAGCTTGAAGACAGATGGATTATTTTATTTACGAGTTCCTGTGATAAGAGCAACAGGAGCATTGTCTAGTCAAGAGTGAATCAAACTGGTGTTACAAGGGACAGTACCTACATGTATAACTCAAACACGTTAGCTGCGTAATCTGATCTCGTGCTGCCAGCCCCGGCCAGTAAACTTTATTTCTGTGGTGCTTAATCTTCTCTTCAATCACTTTCAGATTTCATGCAAAAAATTTCACCACCAAGTTCATTTGGGTTTTTACAAATTGTTTCTTCTATCTAACAGGAATATTCTTTTGAAATACTTGCTTAAATTTCCAATTTTATTTTTAAGATTTTTTTGTATTTTTTTCTGTGGAGTTTTTTCTTCATTTATCAGTATTTTTCTATTATAGAATGTTTGAAAACAAAGGGATCTCAAAATTTGTTTGATGGTATGCAAGGTGGTAAAAGAAACAAGAGGCATTAAATTGAGGTTTTACTGATTTTCAAATTACAAACAAATTTTTAATTTTTGTAAAAATATTTGACATTTTCAAAAAAAGAGATTAGATTAAACTACATATCACCAAATTTTTCTTGAATTTATAATTAAACAGATTTTTTTGCTCCATGTTATACTTTGCCTTTGAAATATGTCAGCTTTACCTATTTAGCCATGTGTTTATACCTATATCATGTGATGGTGTCAATTATCAGATTGTCGGTTCAAGATTGAAATCAATATGTTATGAATATGCACTATTTGTATGATGTTTGAAATACCAAATAAGAAAACTAACATACATGTTTTTAATTAAATATTTTTGCTCAGCTACAGCAAAATATGGCAAGTTTATGCCATCGATGGGATGTCATCCATAACTTTCAAAGAGGCATCCTAGGCCTTGATTGGGCCCAATAGGGAAAAAAATAATACTCCAAATATTGCTTAATATGATTAAACTACTTCTTAAGTCAGAGTGAAGGAATTTTGATGCAATTTGGTGTGAAGCATTCCTAGACCAATATTAACGAAAGGTGTGAGACCTTGTAAACAGAAATGTGGAACTATAGGAGAACACCTTGAAAAGACCACTCCCCACTACAGGCCAAGGGAATTCAAAGTTTCAAAAAGAAGGGTATTGCCCCATGGGGTTGAAGCTGTTTGGAAGCTCAAAAAGGAAACGTACTTGTTAACTTGAAGAAATAGAAATTGTAAACCCAAGAAAGATGAAGAGAGAGAGAAATAGAAATTACAACCTGATAGAGAGAAAAAACGAAAATTAGGTAGAAGCACAGGAGGTCTTTATTTATTTGTATTAGGTATTTATTTCCTCATTTGTTCATATCCAGAGGCAAATACAGTAAGTTTTAACAAGATTACCAACACTAGCTAGTCATCACTGTAGGTATGAACCAGATTTTTTTTATCTCGTATACCAAAGATATCTATGAGAGAAAAGGGTATTTTTACTTACCTTGGTGATCTACGTCCCGCTTCGGTGCCGACATTTGTTATCTCTCTAAACCGATACACCACTTGTGAGGATATACGGTGAATAAATAGAGAGAAAAAAAAGTGTTTGAAGAAATTTCTCAACCATCAGTCAAAAGTGGTATTTCGTATTTTCTTACACCGAACATTTACACGTACGGACTTCGAGGGAATCATTTATTCATTTTAAAGTATCTGCTGCACTTCATCTCATCAAACTGAAGAAAGAAAAGAAAAAGCAGTTCTAATTGGAATTTATTTCAAAATGCTTCGAATGGAGTGTGACGGGGAGCTTTGCGTGAAAAAAAAATCAAATATCAAAACAGCGGGCTTAACACATCTCCCTCTGGAATTCCTGCAGTAAGTTTATATCGTAAAATGTTAGTGATTTACCTATAAAATAATATTAAAATTAAAATGCCAAGTACATCTTACTTATTTACTTGTAGACTGTCATATACCTTATATTGTCAAGGTCACATCTAAGTTCAAGGTTAATGACGAATTTTTTTGAGACGAATACACATGACCTTCTGAGGAGAGGTGACATCCGAAAGAAGATCTTACAAGCGAAGCACGATGTATCAGTTAAAGCTGATTCTCGTTGTAATGTTTGATCTCGTCTGAAGGTTGATGAACAGACCTGATACATTATTAGATTATCCATTATACAAACAATTCAGACTGGTATAAGTATGACCTTCAGCATTTTGTTGTTGTTCCTAAACATCAAGTTTATTGGTCAGCGCCACTTAACACAACACTCGATGTCTTACGAATGGATTCAGAGAGAACTTCAATGTGATGAAAACATCAATACAAACACTTAGCGTATTACAGAAATCGTGATTCCACAGGGATCACGTGACCAGGTGTTCATTTCCCATCAATCTGAATTATAAATATCGACCACATGTGACATATACTTAAAAGCATTGCTATTATGTCCAAGTTTTAAAGTGTATGGTAGACTTGTTCCCGATTCCTCCGCTTTTTTGTTTAAATCATCGGGAGCAGACTTTGTTCGAAGGATTACATAGTCTGCTTCTGGGTAGTATCGGCGGTATTTACCTGTTTATCAGCTGTATTTTCACCTGAGGTTAACTATTATTATTATTTACGGGTATGAGACCATAATAATCATTCCAACGGGTCTCCGTGTTGTGCTGGTTTGAACGGAACCATTTCTACACCAACTGCGAGAGCTCCACGTTTAATTGCTACCAACCCCTGCCTTCAAATGGGACACTCGACCGCTTAAGCCTTATATACATGCATTGTATAAGCTAACGAGGAAACGTTAGACCGCGTGACTTTTATTATTTTACTGCCCAAAATAGAGGTCAGTTAATGGTAGACAGTCATGATAAGGACATTAATACTGACCACTGGCCAGCATCTGCTACTGGGCAGATTTTGCATTCCTAATCGTAAAATTGATTTGTATGTGGGCAGTGATATTTACTTTTAATTCCGTAGGTGAATAGGATTATTTGAAAATTAATTATCTTGGCCCAACATGTGTTGAAATTGACAGACTTATTTGAAATGACAGAGGTGTAAATGCTACGGACGCAGATTTACCTCTATCGTCGAAACAACGAGCTGTACATTTGAAGCTGATCATAAAGAATCAGATACAAACGAGACGAAATATTGATGTTACTTACTAATACATCTAAAACTGGACACATGGAGTTATGTTTGAAAGCTTGAATTGGAGGTAGAGTATATTTAGTTTATATTCAGCTACGTGAAAATCTGGCACATTTTATAGGATAACTTTTTTGTCTCATTTTTTAAATAAAACTTGAACACGAGATTTTAAAGAAATGTTAGTTTAATTGATTAAAGTGATTTTTATAACTATATATTTTTATAGTTATATCCTTAGGAAGGAATGGAAGCATTACGAACAAACAGGTATAAAACGTTTTCGTAAATACAAAACAAGGCAGGCACACACACACACACACACACACACACACACCGCCTTATACAGTTTCCGAACTAACATAGTTTCACTGTCAGAAGCATTTCCATACGAATAACACATTGTGTAATGTATCGTTTTTAAACCCTTTTAATATCAGTTACATACAGGTTACAAATAGAGTGTCACTAAAGTAAACTAACAAGAATTCTGGATTAATCGTACTGTATTTACCTTATTGGCCTCAGTAAATAATGCAATCACAAGTTTCATAAGTAGTAGGTCAATAATGGAAATGATTACTGTGCAGTAGCTAAGAGGACTTGTAACTGGTACGAGTTAATACATTCACGTACAATCTCCTTTCGTGTTTAGAACAGAAAAATCAATATTTATTTTAAGTTTATACATTTTCTTCAAAGATTTACAGAAATTGTAATTCCTGACTTGAACTCACTTAATTTCAGAGATGGTCATTGTTATGAAACCGCTTACAGTATAAGTATTTGTGATCGAGGTGAAGCATTCTTGTGGATTTAAACAAATACGTGTGTGCTTGGAATTAATTTTGACGCAATATATTGACGTGGAAAACATTTCAGAAAATGAAAAGAAAAATCTATACATTGGAGATACTTTAGAAGCTATGGAGGTATAGCTATGTGAATGTACTGCTCTTGTCATTCAAAGGGTTCCAAAATACCTGACGTAACTCATACATTAACAAATTTTGGAAACTCGTTCACGAATTCCTTGATGTGTTTACTGACATTTCTGACCTCCACTCACCCCTTTTCTGAAAACAGAGACCAGTATTTTTTTACGGATGCCCATGTTCACACGTACCGCCGGACAATGCGACCGTCAGTAGAAACACACGGTTAACTTGGTTTGAGTCATTTTAGTGTAGACTCGCAGTATTTGTTTTCATAAACATGTTTCATTTATCATGTCAACATTTAACAGTCGATTCATGGCTGAGCATCAAGAAGGAACGCCAAAACCTCTTTTAATTAACAGTAACGCTGTAAACACAACACAGTGTCAGATTTTGTTCGTGTGTCCTTCTTTGACCGGATGTGCAAAAGAGTACACACAGTTCTATTTTCAAGACAGGAAGCTGATGACAAAAGAACTTTCTGTCCCATAGGAGTCGAGGTGCGACATGGCATATGAGCGGACGAAGGCCAAGTATCTCGAGCTTCTAGACCAGAGCAGAAGCTACGATTGGAAAACATGGTTTTACCCGATTGAGATTGGCGCCAAAGGATTACTCGCACACTCTGTGTGGGGAATGCTAAATGTCCTAGGGATCAAAGGAGGCATGAGAAAGCTGAACAGTAGTGCTTGATAAGCACTGTGGTTCCAGGGCCCGGAGAGCGTCAGATGCAGTGAAATTTATTTTTTAGCAAATTGTACACTTTAAAGGTTCAAACCTCTTTGTATGTGTTTACATATATCAACTGTGTACCAATAACAGAACCTTGTTGCACACTTGTAATTATATCAAAACTGGATCAAGAACGGAACCTTGTTGCAAACATGTAATTACTGTATATCAAAAGTGGACAAAAACAGAACCGTGTTGGACCAAGAACTCACAAATAATTGGGTAAACGCACATGCCCTCTGCTTCAATAATAATTTACAGTTTTTAGAGAAAACTTCCAGTTGGCTGTGGGTCAAGAAGGAAGAGACATGGCAGCGTACCACTGACCCGTAGTGCCCGATTAGCACTGCGGTTCCACCGCCTGGAGAGTGTCCTGTGATTAAAGGATAAAACACTTGTTGATGGGCGGCTCCAATCTAATGAGTCAGTGGTTTTGTACTGCACACGCTGTATACAACACATTCAACACTATAATAACGTATTGGTATCGGACAGTGTTTTCCTAGAACACACACACACAAAACATGCTCAATTACAGCAAATATTGATTTGTACTCCTTGTTTTTTAAACACTGCTGTAAAAGCTAGAGGCGATAAAATTGTCTTTGCAAAATATATGATAAATGTTGGAAGACAACTTAATTATAACATCTATTATATTAGGCATTCTTTTGTTTCAAGATAACATCCGCTCTTAATTTTCTAAGGTGACAAATAAGCATATTCTGAATATTTCAAAGAGATCACCTGACCGATATTATATTACTATGTTTTCAAGTCTAATCAATTGTGATATGAGCGAGATCTGTACATGTATATGCTATTCACTTTGTTTTTCCCGACTTTCTAACATGATTATTACAACCGCAAAATTTACGTATTGTGTTTTTTATTTTATTTTTCAGAGTCGCTACGTCGCACGTTATCATTCACGGTTACCAACTACGTCATCCATTGTACACAGCTTACAGAGTCCGCGACGAAAATGAGAACCAACCCCTATTGCTCGCTAACTTGTTCTTCGTTTGGTAACACCCTACTTTGATTTTGCGAGAAGCTCCTTTGGGTATGTGGTCTTAATCTATATACATATGATTACTTCTAGTAAAGTCCACACTGGGACTGAAGCCTTTCATTCAACCATTCTGGTTAAGTTTAAAACATAAAACAGTTTATGTATACTATGTTTTTAGTTACACTATACTGTTAAGCCTATGTACATGTTTAGATCTGCCTGTAACCACAGATAAAAAGTATGGTTGTTTTTCTCTATTAAGTAACGGTTTCTCTATGGGGAAATTTAGGTAAAGGAAAAATCGAAATTAACATGTTTCTTGAAAATTGAGTCCATTGTACTCGATTTACCTTAACAAGTAGTATCCGACGGAAAATGTGTGAATTGGTATGACGACCAATCAGCGTCGTTATGTTTTTTTGTTTTTTTGTCAAAGTTTCTTTGACACTATATACCTTATAATATTTTACTGCAGGTAGGGCGTAAGAATTGTACTTGCTGCCCCCAATTGCATGATCGTAAGAGGCGACTAAATTTGGGACCTTATCTCTTCTCTCCTTTCTAAATAACTTTCTTTTTCCTAATGTCTCCCTTGACAATGCCTCACTTTTGGCCATTTGTTGAGCGTTCGCCCCTGTGAGGAAGGCTTTGGGTTCTGTCCCCTGGCCGAGACATACCAAAGTCTTTAAAAATGGTAGTTTCTACTCCTGCTTAACGCTCAGCAAATAAGGAGTGGGACGACTGGTTCGCCCGTTGTCAGTATAATGTGACCGGGTGGGGCGTCCTGCTGGGTGTCTTCGGCAGTATGTTTCAGTGAGGTAGCACTATAAAGTCGGCATCAGTTCCGCGCTATCACAAGGAGACAAACACGAACATATCGCAGCCTCCCAAAATACACACACAAACACTACACGCATGTATCTTACACGCAGGGGAGGCCGTCCTTAAATGACCTTAGCTGTTAATAGGACGTTAAACAAAATCAAACAAACAAACAAACTTAACAGTAGTCGATTTTTTAATTCAAGGAAGACGATACCCGAGATGTCTGACGACAACCTAACGACAACAGACGAAGGAGACGTCGATTTCCCGCCATTCCTTATCCTCTTCATTGTGTTACAACAAGTAGTGTTCAGCCTTTCCTGTTTTAGCAACATCGTCGTCATCTTCATTTTCACTCGTTACCTCCATCTTCGATCCTTTAAAAACCGTTTCGTCGTGGGGCTCGCCGCCGCCGATTTTTGCACGGGTGTTTCGGTCGGTTCCCAAATTATTTACTTCCTTTTCCCAGAATTGAACGCCGTCAGGGTGGCTTGCTTTATTCGGTATCAAATCGTTGCATTTCTGACGATGACGTCACAACTAACAGCGTCATTTACAACGTTTGACAGATACATTGCAATATGTCATCCTCACAGTTATAGTAAAGTGGTAACCAACGTTACTGCGAACATCCTGGTTACACTACCATGGGTGTATGCCCTGGTTCTAACGTCACTGTCCTTCCTAGGACTAAAGTCATGGTCAGATGATTCCATGTATTGTCTCTATCACCTCATCTTCGAACAGGGCGTTTACTTAGCATCGGCGTTGACCACCGTCTGCTTCAGTGTCGCCTCTTTGATCATGTACATTCGAATTTTACAGGTAGCATGGAAATACTACAACAGAATACGCCCTTCAAATGAAACCAGTCCATATCCCCAAGTCCGTAAGAAATCAACGGAGCGTAATGTTCGAAGTGCAAAGGTCATGGGGATCGTAACGGCGGCGTTTACGATTTGCTGGACGCCTTTTACGGCCTATCAATTTCGGTATGGAGTAGGGTCTGTTGACTTGACCATGGACGACATCAATGTTTCTAACTGGCTTGTTTTCCTTGGAATGACCAATAGCCTAGTGAACCCAGTGATATACGCCTGGCAACGAAAGGACTTCAACACAGTCTGCAAGAAACTTTGTGGTCGAAACGTCGATTGGAGTAACGCGACGGCTGACTTCACGTCCCATGTCTCATCAACGTAAACCATGTTTGTATGGAACATCCTATATTCCAAACGGGTTTATATAAGTGATTCATATAAAAGTCATGATATGTTATTTGTGGCATCGTAATAACGGACAGTTGACCAACGCCATAAATACACAATTGATAAATTATCGATCATATGTTTATCTAACGGTCCTGTCTAGTAACATCGTTTTTGGCATGAGACCCAACTGAAACATGCTATTTACAAAGAGTGCAGTATGCATTGTTTGGTCCACAATCATTGGGCTTTATCCACTTAAACTCTTTTTCTCTCGACATTCGTTATGTACACAAATTGATATGCGCACAAATATCTTTTCTTTTTAGCATTTCGTGTAGTAGAACATGCATGTCACATTAACGACCCCTTCCTTCCGGAAGACATACAATCCAAATGCGATCCATATTACACAATTGTAAAAACAACTCCACTATTCGTTACAACATCTCACTACTGGCCTGAAGATAGACATAAACCAGATTAGTTAGTAATGTATGGGCTTGGAACAATTTGTTATGTGAACAAATTGCTTTCGTTTCTGTGAATAAAGGAGTTCTTGTCATTTGATATGAGCGAATTTGTGTACATTTTAAACTTCAACTACATTTTAAATTAGGGTTTTCACATGTACGATGGTATTCCATGATGGACGGTAGAGGATCTTGAAGTATGTATTTATAAAGGGGAGACCGGGGCAAGTTCGGCCAATTTTTATTAAAGTCGTTCTGGGAAGTATGACAATTGTTGAATTTTATATGTGTGTCATACATTTATTTTGCAGAGAAATTCTATGCCTTTCATGAAAGAATATTTGTCCGTATTTGGAGGAGAAGTATTTAACTTTTACCGGCGAAAGATTGGACGGCGAAATGTTGCCGCTTTGGAGCAGGTTTGGACAGGCAAACTGGGGTAAGGTCGGCCCACGTTGGAATCAGCATAATAATGAGATGCAATCTAAGATCCCTCCCCAAAGCCCTAGCACGAATTGGCAAGGGATCATGAGTTTCAAATTTAGTATAAGCAGTTTTACGTTGACACAATATTATTAAACTATAGCTCGTTCTATCGAGTTCGCCGTTTTAAGTTGACATTTATTGATTCAATTAAAATCGGGCCATGGCCCCGTTTTAAAAAGCATTATTCATTTCTAGAATTATTTGTTTTTTGTCTTCAGTATATTAGTTTTCTGGCCCTAAATGGCTACAATTGTTGATGGGACTCAAAACAAATCAACACAAAAACAAAACGTCAGCCTGAGTACCCGTTCATAAAGGAACGGGAACTATGATAATTTTCATAAGATTGATATTGACTTTTACTGCCAACGTAAATCAGTTCAATGTTCAAAATAAATCAATTATTAAATACAGGATTCACATTTAACTTTCTCTTAGTCCTGATGTACAACCAAATACAGGCGCGCATATAACTGCCTATACGCGACATGCAGGTACAAAAAAAACCACTGCTTGTTGTACCCACTTGCCCTCTGCCAAGGCCCTAGCCTTGACCCGCTCCTAAATGAATCCCCTGTATGATCAAGGGCTCGCTACGCTACTTCTCTAGAATATTGAACTATTCAGGAAAAAACGAGACTAATGATTTTGATAACTTGGATGTTCTTTACAAAAACATAGGGTCTGGTAGCCTGGACATAGTGATGGACGGGTGTAAGTTATTGCATGTGGTCTAAGCTGTCGCGAGCCGAAGGATGCGGGAGGATATTTGATAACAGCTGCAAATAGTTAAATCAATGCAATCCCTATGCAACACAGACAGAATGAACTTGAGTCCAGCCATTAGAAAAATGAGATAGATAATAAATAATAAATAAAGACCGGTCGTAAATACGTAGTCATAAAAAGCACTACGTATAACTTTTTTTCAATTCACCGACAATCCACCGATTAGTCGGAACGACTGACTGTCAATGATCAAAGAAAATAGTAAAATCAGCCTCAACACTAGATTGGTCCAAACTACACAACGTATACACATTGGGTCAGGTTTAACCGTTCGGAGTTTGGATACGATCAATCCGGAATGGCTGTATTTACCTAGTATAGTGTTTAATGTGTAACAAGGGGAACAAAATTTAATTTGAAATTTGAGAAAGATCGGTCTAGTGTTCCTTGGGAAATAGTATCGGTAACAAAATGGAACTGTCGAAAACCAAGATGGCTGCCTGGTGATAATTTCGTTTTTCTGATCAGCCTCAAGAAGAAGCATGCACAATGACGGCCATGCATGGTGAACCTAGATACGTGTGAAATTTGAGAAAGATCTCTCCAATACTTGAAGAAATGTTTATAGCGCTAATAAAATCTAACTCACAAAATTCAAGATGGCTGCCTGTCTTCAAATCCACCTTATGCATAACTACAGACTATGGGGAACTAACCTACATGTGAAATTAAAGGAAGATTCCCTTCAATGCTTTCTGAGATGTAGCACTAATAAACATTAGCTCTTAAAATCTAAAACGGTCGCATGTCGGTCATTTTAGTTTTCAGATCAGTCCGAAAATTCGATATGCTTTATTTAGGACGAAGGAGAGCCTACATGTATAAACAGGTAACCTCTATTTATATCTGAGAAATATCGCTATCATACATCAGCTCATATTTCAAAATGGTCAGCTGTCAGCCATCTAAGTTTTACGATCAGTCCCAAGATACACAACTACGCAAACAAACTTTAACTCTTAAAATTCAAGGAAGCAGCCTGTCAGGCATCTTGGTTATCCGATCTATCCAAATTCCATTTTTACTCTCAAACTTCAACATGGCCACCTGTCGGCCATTTTGGTTTTGAGGTCAGTCTGAAAAAAAACTGATTTTTGTGAACCTACATGTACATGTGAAATTCTAACCAAAGGCCTACGGCTGTATTGTTCTAAATCGTCCAGTTTCAGCCGTAGGTCTTGGTTCTCTAGCTTTATGGCGTCTAGTTCGATCCTTAGGGGTGCCATTTCCTTTTGTATCAAACTCGAGATTTCTTCTACAAGCATGTCTCTGACGGCCACAGCTATATCTTTTATATTATCTGGTGAGAGATTTACATTGTAAGCTTGAGGACTAGGGGCATTGCCCGGGGGATAGCCAACAGTCTGAGGGTAGTGGTTGCCAGGAAGAACGTTGCCGTGGTGAGCTGAGGGCGTCGACGTACCCATCGGGAGGTAAAGACCAGGTGGGCCAGGGTACATAGGATAATTTGTGGGAGGGCTTTCATCGGTAAGTGATCCCTGTCTGGCTTTTTTACTTTCGGGAAGAATTGGAGACGAAGAAGACGTGTTAAAAAATGTTTATTGGAAGTGGAAGCAGAATCCATGGTTAATAGTATGAACACAGCATGTGCATGTACAATTTCACAAACAGTATCTGTCATCTTGGTTTTTGGATCAATTCAAATTCCTATACGCATAAATAAGGACCATGAGGAACCTTCGTGTGACATTGAGAAAGATTCCTCCAATATGCATGTACATTTATATATACTTTCTAAGAAATAACATATAACTATTTAGCTAGCTTTAACTTTCAAAATCATCGGCCATCTCAGTTTTCCCATCAGTCCAAAAACTTAAACATTTGAAATTTGAGAAAGAATTCAGTACACATGCTTGAACTTAATTAATGAGAATAGTGCTAACAAATTTTAACTCTCAAAATTAAAAATATATATATGTACGTGTAGCCGCCTGTCGGCCATCTTTGGTTCATTGGTTCATTGCAGCTGGCACCGTTGTAAGCGTCTGGTCGCTTCTTAAGGTACTTCTTAATAGTCTACTCCACTTCCGGCTGCATTTGGAGACATTAGAGAAGACATTATTTCTCAATACTAGTGAATATTATGTACATGTGCAATGGGTGGTAAAAAAGTTGCATCCTAATTTCATTTGAAATATGGGTATTCAGCTATAAAAAAGGACTAGCAGGCCTGTATAAATCACAAGTCTCCGAAAAAGAGGTTATTTTACTATTTAATAGATATACACACATTGTGATTTACTAGTTTCAGACCTGTCAATGAACTATACTTGAAAGTATAGATATTAAAAGGTTTCATGGGTTAAAAAATGCTAAATTTAAATTGGAGTTAGGGAAGCCTATAATATGTATTTCCGCAGCTAGTTAGTAGAAGTTTGGTTCAAAAATATTGGGGTTATTTTCCCAGTGTTTGTTTAACCTGGTCTTAAAAGAAAACAGGGATTGGGCATTTACCACTTTGTCCAGGGCTTTTTTTGTAATCCAAATAAATGACATCCACTTGCTTGTTTTGGTCTGAAGCTTCTGTCCAGTCGTCAATAGATTCTAATAGTTGTGTGGTGCAAGACTTGCTACTTATAAAACCGTGCTGCTCCATGGAGAAAAGGTTGTTCTTGTCATTGCGTTCCACTATTTCGTCTCTTATTAGTCGCTGAGACAGTTTACACACAATTGATGTTATGCTTATTGGCCTATAGTTCCCTGCATCTTTCTTGTTCCCCTTTTAAAATTTGGTGTGACATTTACTTGTTTCCATGATTTCAAAAGACAATTTTCTGCCATAGCTTTTTCAAGAACGTATTTCAAAGGGCCTTTATTTGGTTTGCAGCCTCATTTAGGAATTTGGGATGTATGTTGTCAGGACCAGCAGCTTTGTTTACTTTCAATCTGCCAATAGCTTTGACTATTTTTTCCTCCTCCGAATCCTACTTATTTTCCTATTTGGGGAGTGATCTTGAAATTGAGGAAGTGGTTCTTGCCCCTCATCTACGAAAACACCAGCGAAGGGCTTGTTGAGTACCTCAGCCTTTTTCTTGGTCATTTTTAGTGAGTTATCCGTTCCCTTTGTCCAGTTGTGTTGTCTTCTCTTTTGTCTTTGCTTTGGTGCGGACATATTTCCAAAAAAGTTTTGGTTCAGTTTTTATTTTTGGTTCAGTTTTTATTTTTTAAGCTAGTAATTCCTCATGGTTATATGTGTTGTTACGAATTGCCCTTGTTACTAAATTTCTTGTTTTTTGGTAGGATTTGAAGTTTGAAGCAGTTTTACAGTGTACATATTTGTATCCATCTACTCCTTTTGATCCTTTACTCACTGGTACATGTTGTTTAACAACTTTATTATTTCAGTAAAAGATTCCCAGGATTCGGTTAGATCCACAATATTCATGACACCTCACTCTACTTTTGATAGCTCCTCTCTAATAGCTGCATAGTCAGCTTTAAAATAGTTTGGTCTTGTTTTTTCACTAACTTTGTTTTCAGTGTAGCATACAGATTTAAAAACTAACGATAGATGGTCACTATAGGCCCAATACTACTTTTATATTCCAGGAAATCAATCATATTCTCTTCATTTGTATGAGGTCTAGAACCGATGGAATGCTTCCCTCTCCGAGTCTTGTTGGATGTAACACATGTTGATATAAAAAAAAATAAGCATGTGTTAGTTCTAGGAATTTTGTAGCTATATGTTGTTCATTAGCATCAGTAGTATTTTCCTTCCAGTTGATTTCCTTGAAGTTTAAATCTCCCTAGATGAGAAGGTGAGAATTTGTGGTTGAATTAGCCTTTCTGAACATTTCACTGAGCTGGGTAAAGTTATCTCCAATATACAGTTGGGAGTCTTGAACACACAGCCCAATAGAAGGGAATCATATTTGTTAAGTGTTTACGTCTAAGTTGTCCCTTATATAGATAGCTACACCTCTTCGGAAACCTCTCTCATTATTGTTGAACTGATTGTTTCTTTCTAGATTTAAATTTCTGGCCCAATTATCGAATATAGTGTTTTTAGGGAGGATCTCAGTTATTGCAATACTATCCGGTTTTGTTTCTACAACACGTTAGTGTAAAAAAACATTTAAGCCGTCCGTGATAAAATAAAATAAAAAAAAACCACACCTATGTCAGCTGACTCTTTATGACCATATTGGAAATTGGGCTCATATCCCCAATAGTACGATCCTCCACCCAATCTTGATTTCCCAATCAGTTCCAAAATTTATACGCAAAACCACGGACATGGATCTAATTCCGTGGCATAAGTAAGGACCACGGGAACCTTCGTGTAAAATGTGATAAAGATTCCTCCAGTAGTTTGTTAGAAGTAATGATATTTAACTTTCAAAATTCAAGAGGGCCAACTGTCGTAGGCCTAGTTCCCTCCTCTTGTAGGAGAACCGAGTGTGATGACTGGGCATGCGCAAGGCGGACATTTTGAAAAGCGGAAGACCGTACAAAATAAGTTATTGAAGCAAAAACAGCGAAGGAAACGATTGAGCAATGAACAGACGGTATGTGACTTTGCAGCAATTGTGATTTTACTCGAAATGATGATACATATATGTTAACAATTGCATGGGCCAAGATTATCCTCCACATGTTTAACGAATGAGGATGATTCTCCGGCCATACACAAAATCAGTAACGTTAACCCATTTCAGACAGACCTAGTAGGTACTATAATTCTGCATCGTGCATTATTCACCTTATTAACAGTGTATGGTTGTGTTTAACCGGTCTAGGTCTTTTTCATTTAGGAAGATCTGGATATATAGTCCCATAATACGTATATGATATTTATGTATAGCCTATAGGACAAGTGTAAACAAACGGGTTAGCATCGGGTGACCAGTTTTTGATCGCGAGTTTCCCCTGAGGAGACTCGATCTATAAAAGTATTTTTTTAGCATGAGCCCTTTAAATGTTCAACAATGCAATGTGCAAGCCCGTTGAAAGGTCGGTAAGTTATGCCTCTCCACCGCTAGTTCAAGCTACGTCCAAGAATATGGAGGGGGGATATGGTTTACAAATTTATTATGACATTTGTATCGGCTTCATTTTTGAATGATGACAACAGCATCCATGTGTGCAGTGCCAGTGGATATCCTTGTGCATGAAAGGACATCATGCATTTTGACATTGCCTGTAGAATACCCAGACAAATCGGACAACATGACTTTCTATTGATAGTTCCCTTATCAATAGATAGTCATGTTTTTCCTTAGGGAAACAAACCTTTAACAAATTCATAGAAAGTTGCTTATTGAGAATTTTCAGACTCCTGCCCTTGAGTTGCATTGTACAGTTTTTCCTGATCAACACAACTGAATAAGGTCAGAGCCCAAAACTTCTTGCATTATAGAGGGATTATGATAATTGGCAAAACAAAGGTTATTATAACGTCAATAACAAATTAAACTTTTTCCCATTCAGTTAATGTTGTTTAATTCTACTACAGGGAATTTGAAGAGGAACTGCAGGCTTACAAAGGAAATGATCCATTTGAAGTGTGGCATAGGTAATTATAAGTAGATCCCACTATTGTTCTCTATTAAATTCAAGAACATTTTATAAGTTGTGCAATAATATGTATATTTTAATCACACTCTTCTCACTGCCTATAAATGACTATTGTCTACAAATAAATACATGTTTATGTATCAATTTTTCCCCCTTTTGAGCTTTGTATGGCTCACATTAAGGACAATTTTGAAAAAGTTTGAAACATATTGCCCCATTAAAATACCTGATGGGATATATATATATAAGTCTCTGGACTGGCATGTTTATGTATCAATATGTACATAATTACAGGCCTGATTTTTAGAGAGAGAGAAAAACGGAAGAAATGTTTAAGACAAAGGGGCCTTCTAAGTTGAAACAGCCTAGATTTAATGAAAAAACTGGATGTTCACGTCTGTAATAATTTGCTGACTTAATTTCTGTATTGTAGGTATATACTACACATAGAGAAATTCTGTCCGGAAGGTACGAAGGAGAGCAACCTTGTTGAGCTCTTGGATCGCTGTTTTAGGACATTCAACAACATACCACATTACAAAAATGATCAGCGCTATGTCTCAGCATGGATTAAATATGTAAGAACAAAATAATATCGTTATGGGAGAAAAAGGTCCCCAATCTCGTGATAGTTAATTATCATGTTTATCTAACTGTCGTTTGTTAATTTACAAGTTGTTACAACACCGGGTAAGCCTTGTGCCTTTATACAATTTGAAAATTAACAAACATGATAGCCACCATCACTCGTTGGAGAACCTCTATGTATAATTGTATGTGTGAGGCATACTTGAAAATACTGTAGTACGTGCATTTGTGTATGTATCTATCTGATTTAATTGCAATTTGATACAAAATGTGCATTTGTGAAATTTCCCCCTGTACCTGAATTTAAATGAACAAAAATCTTGCAAAATTAAGTTAAATCAAATTATAATGTAACCACTGAATTGTGTATAGCGTCTTTGTAAACATTCTTTAGCTTTCAGATGCTTGTAGTTGTATGACAGGTTACAAAAACAAAAGGATTTTGACATTTCAGATCCAAACATAGTTCAGCCAGAATTACATTTGGTCACACGGTATCAAACTAGAAAATACTTCATGAAATAAATAATCCTTAACCTGGGTACAGTGATTAAATGAATGATGTTTTAGAATCTCCAACAAATGTTATAATATTATCATTATTTCCTTTCTTTTACAGCTTTACTTAACATTGCCACCATTTGCTTGCCTTTTAAAATATACTTTCCCATGATACTTTGAAGTTTTTGAAATTTCCATGGATACATATATTTTTACACCCCTCCTCCTCATATGACACAATGGGGATCCTGGAGGAGAATATGGATTTGATGCTTTCTCATGATTCTTTTAATAACTTCCTATAGGCCGACTTCTGCAAGGAACCGCTGGAAATTTACAGCTACATGAAAAAACAAGGTATTGGTATGACCTTGGCCTTATTCTATGAGGCATGGGCCAATGCTACTTGGCAATTAGGAAGCATGCAAAATGCAGACATGATCCTACAGGAAGGTATTCGCTGTCAGGCACAGCCACTGGACCAGCTGCAGAGGAAAAGAGAGTAAGTGTCTAGTTTGTCAAAAAACATGGCTGTGTGTAAGTAAAACATTGGTCTACCCTGCTTGAAGTTGTAGAAACGTACAGAAAATCAGAGATTTTGGAATCTTACTAGTCCCTGTGATGAGTGGTTTTAGTATGACACAAGTCCCTATGACTAGTGGTTTTATTCCATCTTTGGGTATTGCAGCGTTATCTTCTCTTGTGAGCATGTATTGATTGTTACGTCATTGGTTTGTGTGAGAAAATTGTGTCGTTTCTCGAAAATTGATGACGTGACTCTCAAAAACAAATGACGTAACAATCAATACCTGCTCACAAGAGAAGATAACTCTGCAATACACAAAGACGGAATAGAGATGTAGGATTGAAGTATGTTGTCCAACCCGTCGGGTCGGAGATTGACCAAAGACTATGCCGGTTGTTATCCACTGCATGTTGTGAGAGGCAGTATTGGAGCTAAGGCTTGTTTTTGTGTTGATGCATTCTGATTTCAAATTGCCAACCTAATACACCTCATGTATACCGTCTTATCTTCAGAAATGTGCAGTGTTCTGAAAAAGCATTTGTCCACATCATCTCTTTAAAGTTATGCATTCATGACATGTAGACAGCTACACCAACAGTGAACACAATGTCAATAGCTCAAATTTTTGAAAAAAGTGCTATATTTTTCCAATCCATGAGAAGTATAACACAGTCTCAGATGAAATTTTGATAGGGAACCTAAATTGTTATATATTATCCCCTTTCTTAACGAGATCCAGTGCAATGGGAAAATAATCCAGCTGAATTAAATTTTCAAGCCCATACATGCATAATGTCATATTTTTGAGTTTTAAAAGGAAAACAGCCTGTCTTATAAGGCACAGGAAAAAAAATAGCAAAATTTAAATTGTGCAAAAAAGAAAATCAGCTTTACTCCTTCAGCACTCACCTTGTTTAAAATTGTCTTAAATTTGATGTTTATAATCGTTACTAGCAATTCTTGAACATAAATCATATAATAAAACACATTCCTCGTTATTATTTTTAACTCCGTATTTGTAAAACTCATTTTGCACTTTTTATACGCCAGTCAAATTTGACGGGAGTATTATGGTATGGTGTTGTCCGTCCGTCTGTCTGGCGTAAACTTTGTTTGTCCGGCAATCTCCTCCTACATTGTTCGACTGATCTCTTTGAAACTGGAAGTTATTGCCATTTGTTTATTTCAGTATTTGATTTTTTTGTCCGGAGATCTTCTCCTACATTTTTCAACCGATCTCTTTGAAACTTGGTATACTTGATATTCATGATATGAAGTTGTGTCTCCCTTAAAAGAATTTTGATTCAACGATTTTTTGCAAAATTTATTGCCTTTTGTTCATTTCAGTATTTGATTTTTTGTCCAAAGATTTTCTCCTACATGTTTTATAGCATATCAGCTAACCACTCTTAGAACGATGCAGATCTTATTTCAATGTAAGAAAGTATATAACACTATATGGCATTCGACGGGTGTATTTTGTTCCGCCCCGTGGTACTCTTGTTGTTTAAATCATTATAGATATGCCACTGGTCATCTTGATTACAACATACCACAGTTACAGGTTTTTCTGTTGTAAGAATTGAAAGTAAACTGATGTTTTATAGTGAGTTTCAAAGGAGACGGATAACGGAAAACCAAGCACCTGGCTCTGGGGCTGGATACTCTAAAGTGTGTAAGTAAAGATTCAATAAAAAACATATTTGTATATAAACATGTATTTCTTTATAACATACTTACAATTACATTTTTTAGGTCACCTGAGACAAAGTCTCAAGTGACCTATTGCGATCGCCTTTTGTCCGTCGTCGTCCGTCGTGCGTCCGTAAACAATTTACATTTTCGACTTCTTCTCCAAAACCCCTGAACCAATTTCAATGAAATTTTGCAGGGACCTTCCATGGACAAAGGTCAACAAAANTAAATATATCAGGTGACCGTTAAGGCCCATGGGCCTCTTGTTTATGTCTTGTCGCAGAAATTTCCAGAACAACTATTAAGATTTTTCAGTTTGTTTTATATTCATTTGCTAATAAAACATGTATCTTTCATATGTAATCATGCGATGGTTTCAGTAAAGGCTGCAGAGAAATTGTAGTTATATAAGTAAAATGAAAACTATGCTTATTTAGTCATGAACAAACTGAATTTGAAGCTTATCATTTATATGGTTCTGAACATCTATATTTGAGTATCATTTCCTTGCAGCATCTAGAGATGGACATATTCAGGTGTTTAATGACGAAAATGTAAATCCCAACAAGCCTGCTCAAGCTAAACATCAAGTTCAGAAGTGTAATGATGAAAATGTGAATCCCAACCTTGCTCCAAAAGTTCAAATATACAATGACGAGAATTTGAAGCCCAGTGTGCCTCCACAAGTTCAAAGTCAGGTCCAAGTGCATAATGACGAAAATCTGAATCCCAGCGTTCCCTCACAGGTACAAGGTCAAGGTCAGGGCATAGGTTTTAATCAGAATGGTTCGTTGTATGGACAGTTTATTGAAGAGTTCAACATTTACTGTAAAAGATAGTACAATTTCATTCTGTACTACCAAGTCAAAAAACTGGTAGTGCACAATTAATATTTATAGTGTTGATGATTTCATGGGTATTTATCTGCATGCTGCATAAAAGAGATTAGTAATTTACTTAGCTTTATGTACACTCTAGATAACATTCAGTTCTGTTCTTTGGTTAATCTGATAATCATGTGATGTTACAATACTAGAGTTTTAAATCGACGCTGAACCACAGGTCTATAAGTCTGACATGTAGCTACATCTGAGCTACATTATTTGTAGCTAATAAATGTTGTACTTAGCAACAAGGGTATGTCAGTGAACAAGATAAACACATCAGGGTAAAAACATAAAATTCTTCAATATTTTGTTGAATATTGTTAAATATTGTACTTATTAACAAATTAAAGCACGGTATTCTATAAACTTTCTTAGTGTATACATGTTTTTATGGTTTTCATGATTTTTGGAACCACAATTATAAGAACATTGAATACAACTTAGCCTTGTTCATTGACATGAACTTACGTCTATTGTATGATCAACCAATTGCAAGCAAATGTAATAACAAATTACTCTGTAAACTTTAATTGTGGAAGTTAAAAACTGGAAAAGGTTATGTTTAAAATACGTATTAAGACAGGTTTTTTTCATTTTATTACTCTCTTATATCAGCGAATCATGTACTGCAAGGAGAAACTACTAATGGGCATAGAGGAACTGTCTTTTGAAGAGCTTCGTGCCAAACATTGGTGGGCTAAACGTAAAAGGGAGCAGGAAATCAAGGCTTTTATTGACGAGGAGAAACGTGGCCTGGAGGAGGAGAAGAGGCGATTTACAGGTAATGTTAACATGTGGTTCCCAAAGGTTTTCTTCCTTATAATATCAAAATTTAGACCAGTGAGATTTTAATGGTCTTTTTCCCCATTTTTTTTTCTCTCTAGCACTTCTACTGTAGATTTGATTTTTATTTCTTTATAATTTTCCTTAAAAATCCAGAATTATTTGTGCAACTCAAAAAAAATCACACGAAAAAGTTTTAATACTGTCTTACTTTACTTTGTCCACATACATGTAGGACAATCAGATAAAATATATTCAATAAGTGTTTGATTTCTAGTGATCAAAGAATTTATAAAACAAGACAAAACTAACGTTTCATTTTTTTGAGTTACGACATGTTCATGGGGGGAAAACACATCTATTTGATAGAGGAGATGGAGCGAAATCGGGCAATGTTGGCACAGGAGGCTGAAAAAATTAGACACGAGCGTGACCGTTTGCGACAGGAACAGGAAGAGATGCGTCTACAATGTCAGCAGCAACAGGCACGGGCCAACATGGAGAGGTAATCACAGGCTTTTGAGAAAGTCCCTCAGGGTCACAGCATATATACGACTTATTGCGAGTTACAATTCCTCTTGATTTTTTGCAACATTATGCTTTGCTTTGCTGAAACAATGTCTTTATCCAAATTTAGAGATTGTTCTTCAAGCAGTTTATTAATTAAGGTCTCTATTTATACTTTAACCCTTCACTTTTGCATAAACAATGCTAATCATCAGAAGTTTTGTTAATAATCCTGGTGATATCATGTCAAGTTTGTGATTCTTGAAGCTACATTTAGCCATTTAAAAGTGGCCATAAAATGGTCTGTGTTTTTCACAATGTCTGAAACATGATCAATGGACAGATAACAGATTTTATTGTATAGAAAAAATCTTTGGAAATCTTTCAATCAGATAATACACAAATTTTACATTTTTAAGAACCATAACCAAATAGAAATGGCCGCTACTGGTCTAAATCCAGTAATGGGGCTGGTCAATCCACTTAACATTATATTTTTGTCAAACTCTGATTGATCATTTTGCCAACCACCATAATAAGTCAGTGTTGAATGTTAAGACAGATATATAAAGGTGATAATTGTTATGTTCTAAATATCACTACATTGCTTGTATTTGTTTACAGAGTGACTCTACAACAACAACAACAGCAGCAGCAGCAGCAGCAGCATCAACAACAGCATCAGCAACAACTACAGCAGCAGCAACAGCAGCGACAACAAGAAGTTATGGAGATGGAAATACAACAGAGACTGGCCACTCAGCTGAGCATCAGTGACGCCTCAAACCAACATTTATCTGGGTTTAGGACCAGGTCAGACAATTGTGTTGATCATTGAGAGAATTATCATTCTATTTAATACTTAGAGTACAGAGCTCAAACTTTGAATGTGGGTTTTCCTAGGGAGGAAGAAGATCCTTGTTGATATTGGGCTTCCAGTTAATTGAAGGTCAAGATCACACTGCAAGCTACTGAAAATAGAATATTGTCATCAATTGTGTATCTAGGGTTGCTCTACTGAATGCATATTGCGGATGCTGATTTTGACCTATATTTTACGCTTTAGTGACTTGATTAACAACAATTGGTCTTCTGTTCATTTCAGATTAAGAAAAGTTGTTCACATAAGTCAAATCTTAATTACTACAAGTGATACACAGATTATACTTGCATGAATGATCATTCTTCATTCTTTAAAGGCTCATCAACTGATTGCATGTTGCAGATGCTGAATTTGGCAAACATTTAATGTTTAAGTGACTTGCATAATAACAATTCATTGAGTTGGTTAAAAAGTACTTGTCATATTTTTTTGATGAATTTTGTACTGTGAGCAGGGGATATCGATGACAGTGTCTTCTTGGTTGGTTTTCAGAGAGAGTGGAGCCATGAAACATCTCAACTTTGGAAGTGATAATTCATTGAGATCAAACATGCTCTCACGGGGATCAGCGTCAGGAGATCAGACTGAGGACTTTGGTTTGCGTCCAATCACATCACAGATGTCTGAATCTGTTGACAAGAGGGATGTGTCCGTGAATCCAAATCTCAGATGTACACCAGTAGACCAGAGTCTCAGCACACCCAATGACAGCCAGACCTCTCTCAGACAGTTCTCAAGTGGTAGACAGGTCGGCTTATCACCTCATCTATTTTACAAATTCAGTCAAATTTTGCCAAAAATTTGATTACAAAAACCTGAATAATTCATAAATATGAAATAATTTCTGAGAGTGTTTTCCACATCTTATTTAGACCCGTAGTCAGTACTACAAGAGGAGACTATGGTTTGTAATTTGTTTGTCAGAGCGGCATATCACCTTGTCCAGGGCACATCTCATAATACTGGTAATCTCTCACCCAAATTATCAAATTTTGTCTCTTATTACGTTTTAGGAGGCAGGGAGGCACTTTTACTTCACATTTATTATATATGGGCAATGGGTCTACAACATTTATTAATATTTGTGAGTGCCTCAAGAAAAATAATCCTGATTTATAAGGTCATTTGAGGTGCCTCACTGATTGTTTTTATTTTGATTGTGATTTGATTTGTATGGGTTTTGTAGAGTTTGACTGCGCCTTCCCCTACTGTAAATACGAAGGAAGCCCTGCAGTTAGTACAGGGATTTTTCAGTGCATCTCTGGACCTGGAGAAGGACTTAGGCTGGGGAGGGGACATGGAGGTCCCGCAGAAGAACGATGGAATCGGTGCTCAAGGTACTTATATGTCAAAATTTGTTTAGTGTAGGATTCATGTCTATGTATTTATAAAATAGTTATAAAACCCAAACTTCTTGTCGTTAAGTCCCAGACTGTTTTTATACCACCCTTGACAGACTTTGGAGGGTATATAAAGTTAGGATCTGGTTCGAACCCTAGCAGAGGCATGGAAAAATACTTACATCTGTTACAAGAAGAATCAATGTGTCTCTTTATTCATCAATCTTTAAACAATATTCGTGTGTTCCACTGCTTCTGATCTATCAGATTGACGTAAATGAAACATCATCATCAGTTTATCATGTACCTGTGTACCTCATTTTGATTTTATTGTTCAGTGATTTCAACCTATTCCAAAACTAATGGACAGATTCCTAACCTTTGTTTATTTCTTAAATATTTTAACAGAATATGTCTTTTGTAAATGGTCCATAACAGGACACATGTGTCCATTAGTCCATGAGACCAGTACTAGTGTTGTTCCAACACCAAGAAGTTTTTGGCAGGATTTGGCAGTGAATACAAGTTGAAAAATAATGTGTTTTAAAAATGTGGATGGTGCCATCCTGTGATAAAATCCTTATCACAAGATAGATTATAATTTTGTAATTTTTGAGTTTTCTTGTTATTACCATGTTTCCCAATTTGACTTGTTGCCACACATCCTTTGCCAATTCTGTTTACAGAAGGGGGGGGCATATAGTGTTGCCCATGTCCGTCCCGTCCTATGTCTTACAGACATTTTCTAGTTTTGTTTGTCTTTCAGAACGCATAGTACAACCTACAGAGCCACCGAAGCCAAGTGGTGGTTTACTGTTTTCTATCTATGATGAGACCCAGGAGTCTGAAAACAAGCCCACGCCTGTCAACAATAATATGGATCGGGTGGAAAAGGAAAATGGGTGGGTTGACAGCCTGTACTTTACTTTTGTTTCTTACTTTTGATATATCTTACACAGAACTCATTTATTTTATTTCTAGTGGAAGCTTGTTGATCCAAAAACACTAAATATAAAATATTTTTAATACAACATTTTTTTTCCGTACTGATGAATTTATGATGAAAGTTATCATTGAAATGCATTGTAAGGGATTCTTCAATAAACGCTTTTCAAGCAAGGGGATTATTTTTCTGGATGATTAGAGACTTGCAGAACAGAATATACGTTTTTGCATTATAATTGAATTTTAGAAACCAAGAAAACATGTACATGTGATTAGGTGAATTTGTATATTTATGAATGTCAACCAAAATATAATCACTTTGAATAGAATATGCTAGAATATTTTTTCCATGAAAAGTAAAAAGTTGCTTCAAAATATTTGTTTAAAAGGTGAATTGATTCAGTATGTATATACTTCAGTATGTATATACCTTGTTTTGGGTAGTTGTGATTTCAGCAAGTGAGTAAACTAATTCATCTGTACATTTTGTTGACAGCGGACAGTCCCAGATACCACGACAAAATCTCATGTTCAGTGTCAAACCACTAACACAGAAGTCAAAACCACCGTCTCTTTCCAAGAAAATGGAGTTCTCAGTGGTTTGTGAAACTTTGGTTTTATATACAAGACTTTTCAAGCAAACGTCTTCTCATTCAGTGTGTTTGTTATTAGCGAGGGGATTCCACAGAAACAGTTCAACTGGTTAATGGTGGATAAACACAATTGTTTGCAATGATTTAGTGATAACTAATAGTTTCAAAATAATCCATAGTGATGTCAAAACAGAGAAACAGAAGACGTTGCTATGAATAATTATTAATTTAGAAAATAATGAATATCAATATCATGCAATTGACAACCATAATGTAGTGGTGAATCTCTAGTTTCATCTGCAGGTTCATTATCACATGATGGTCTGAAGATAAATACATGTCTTATACCTGGTACTTATCGATCGTGTTTACAGTTACAGGACGGCGATAACCAGATGGAAGGGATAGAGTCACAGGCCATGGACGACTGTACCATTGGTCCTGTCGGTTCTCACCTCAGCTTCGCCGCTGCAGCCCACATTGCTTCAACGCCGTTTAATGCCAACAACTCTCACGGACCACAGTCGACCTTCACTCTTGACCTTGAACAGGAGGTCAGCAAAAAAAGCAAGACAGAAGAGAAGGGTGCTCAGGAGTCTGCAGGCAATTTGTATGAGGATGCTGCCATGCAACCCATCAACCTAAGGTAGGAAGCACTCATACACAATACTGCTATATCTCACTGAATGTTGGAAGAGGTAACAAATAGGGGTCCCCTACATAATTGGGGGTTTCCCACAGTTTTGTTTTTGCTTAGGAGACACTAAAGAAACAAAGATTGATCTGCTGCTCTATTGCAGCACTTGGTATATTTTCTCTTCTACTTATCTCTCTTACCTACTCTTCCTTTGTTTTAGCCAGTGTCTCCTTAGACACGAACAAACCGAACAAGTCCGTCATCACTGAATGGGTTTCAACAATCTGTGACCCCTCACTTGAATGTAAATTAGCTTGTAAATTATAGGTAATGGACATCTATCATGTATTCTATGACAGAGAAAGTCAAAATTACAAACTTAAATAACTTTAATACCCCATTGATTTTGAGGTCAAATTTTGGTCCAGTCACAATTTCTTGCTGTGGAATTTTAACTCGGATGTCTTAAATGACTGCATCATGGGTGTTTTACTGTTTATCTCATAATGTTTCAAGACTTATATTTATAAATGTTCATCTTCCTGACAGCCCAATTATGGAAGGGAGTAATGAGGAGTCGTCAGGTCACCAGACTGGGATGACGTCACTGGGAGGGGACAGTGTGTTTCATAGTTCCGGCGGCCGTCATCCCTCTGCCGACCAGAAACCTAACTGCCATTATCCAACTGACCTTGACAACCACAACGAATCGGCTCATCTGATAGACACATCTGGTTACATACCACTTGACCTTGATGAAAAGACGGAAGCACTCTTGTCCATGTCTATACGTATCGACCCACACAATCCATTCGACAGTGACACCATTGCAGAGTTTCTTACAAACTTACCCCAGCCACTTAGTACATACCCTAACTACGTCGACTGTTGCGACGAGATCATGCAGGCAGTTACTGCAGAGACTATTGTTAGTTTTGGTAAGTGTCTTGTAGTGTTTTTATCATATGTAAGCCAGTATCTTTCATATCTCTTATTAAATTAGTGCAGGCATACACAGGCCAATTACTGAAATGTTTGTGGTTTAAATTGAAACTCCTCTTTTGAATTGTTAAATGTACTTCTCTGATATTTAGACCACCTGTTAAACATTGCTGATATGCCATGGTGTGGTGTATGTTTCTGTCCATCATTCATCATCCTTTCATTTAAATCCTACTAGTCCAGCATGACTGAAGATATTTTGACTCACATTAATTTGGTTCAGTGTTAAATCAAGTATTCAAAAGGGATGTGATCCTTCTGGCAGCAGAAGAGCAATAGAGGGAATTGGGGTAAATGAATAAAAAAGTACTAATATTTAAAGTATGGCCTGATTTTCTTTTATCTTATTTGGTATGAAGTATACATTAGTATATGGGCCAAGACAATGAAAAGCTTTGTTAATGAAGGATATGGATTTTGGGACAAAGGTGAACCAGCTGATAAGGAAAGGGGTTGTGACCTTTAAAAAACTACTATTAAAATTAAGTATGGTTATTTGGATTTTAACCTTATTTACCTTGGCCATGCTCTGTTGTATTAATGTTTCCCTTCCCTTTTCTCCCCCAATCTCTTTGAGGGAAATACAAATGGCTATTTAAAAGAGTACTGCTTGAGCATAGGTGAAAAGTGTTAAACTTAAACTAAATTTGAATTGGTAAAAAGCATTTTTGGTCCACGGGAATACCTCAAAGATTTTAGGTTACAGAGTGCCAAGTTTAAGGGCACCACTACAATATCAAAATTTAATTGTCCTATTTCTTTCCTTTTTCATTAACAGGTGGCGACCCCTACACAGTGGAGTCTCTGGTTGGTAAGGGAGGCTATGCTAGTGTTTACAAAGCCTCGTCCATCAATCTAGCCTGTGAGGGTCTAACTGATGTCTGTCAGGATGAATTGTTTGCTATGAAGGTAAAACACACAACAAATCAGGAAGAAGAAGGAAAACTAATTAGATAGAATAATTTATGATGGAATTTAAACTGAAATTTCTTGATTGTTAATTGTGAATAAGTCTATTACTGCTGAAGGTTAATATTTTACATAGTGGAGATTTCTTAGTATACAGTTTTAACAGCTTATGAAATGAAATTTAAAGTAGGTTACGCAATTCCTTAGTTTGATTGGTGATGTAGTCTCTGGCTTTCACCCGACCCATGTAGTTTAGCTAGCATGATTAAACTTCTTGATAATATCCAACAACACTTTGACATCCACAGATACAGAAGCCAGGCAACCCTTGGGAGTTCTATATATGTTCTGAGATACATGACAGGCTGAGGAAGTTTCAGGCTCCTGTTGATGTGGTGAGTCCATTCATCTGAACCAAATGTTGTCAAAATGTCATCTGGCCAACCACAGAAAAACCGGAAAGAATGGTTTTGTATTTGAACTGTGTCATTAAGTATGTTATATCTCAAGCATCCCAAACATTTAATATAACTTTTATTTTGCAGTCACAAGCTATCATGTCGGTCCAGAAAGGCTATTTCTTCCAGAACTCCAGTTGTTTGATAACAAAGTACTTTGAGCTTGGCACGCTCCTGGTGAGTGCATCTGAATCTCCTTAATTGTGAAAATGAAATTTTTGAGCTGAAAACAGCTAAAAAATACTTTAATAGTTATCTTTTTTCAAATCTGTTTGCCCGACACCATTTCAACAAAAAATCTACAAGTTTATTCTTAATATTTTTTTACTGTTCAGAAACAATCCCTCCATTATCTGTTGTTTTTTTTTTGTATCATGAAATTCTGAAATTATTTTATTAGTGTATAACTATATTCTCTTAAATATAATCATGTAAATGAACTAAAGTTTTATAAGAGATGGTACTGTAAGAATGACACTATTTCTGTCTACTTGTAAAAAATGGATCTAATGGTATAATGGTACTTTTTACTGTGATTTGTGTGTGAGTTGTCTTCCTTCCAACATTTTTAATTCTTAATTATCAAATAATTTAAAATGACCTTGACCGAGGTTATATCTGCCCTCATTAGTAGATTGATAAGCTAATTCAAACTTTCAAATTCAATATTTTAAAGATATGTGCCCAAAAATATTAGCCCTTTGAGTTTATTTAAAGTATAATTTGTTTTCTGTTTGAAAAAAAATATGAAAGTATCACAGGGCAATGAAACTTGATACAACCTAGTCCTGAACACCCTCCATATGTGACAACTAAGTGACAATGTAGGTGACAAAGTCCAAATCATCCTCAATACTCCAGGGAATATGCTCACTTACGCTCTCTGTACCCCTGTAATATGTCATAGCATAATTGAAGGCACGTCGCTAGCTATTTGATTGGCCTCCGGTAAATAAACCTGACCAATCGCTAGGCTGATACCTGTCCTTTGAAGATTACAGAGGAACAATGCATGACTTCAAAGCCAGTTAATTTTACCATTTCGGGACTGACTGATTCTTTTGATAAACATCAAAGGATCAAGCTAGTCTTCTTGTCTCATCCACAAGATGATGCACACTAAGTCTTCAATTTTGCTATGACATTTTCCAGGGGTGTAGAGAGCTAAAGTGAGCGAACTCCTGGAGTATCGAAGATGAGTCCAAATCAACATCCGTAAAATATGTCATAGGTCCTCATAGGTGGAACTCTTTTGAGAAATAATGCATGCCTCGGTAAAGGTTGCATATAACCTTAAGTGTGCTCTGCTGTCGAAATGGTTGAAATGTGAATGTACTGAAGTAACAGTGACAATTGTATATATCAGGATCTTGTAAACCTGGTGAAGAAGGAGAAGCAGCAGGTCCCAGAGTCTGTGGCTATGTACTGCGCCATTGAGTTGATACGTGTTGTTGAGAGTCTACAGAGATGTGAGATCATACATGGCGACATCAAGCCGGACAACTTCCTGGTTCAGGGCCTGTGAGTAGACAGCCAATTTAGGAGTCTCTAGTCCACTCAGATCATGTACAACACATTCCTCTTACTAATACTATACTGTTCTGTGTTTTCTGTCAGAGGAAAAGGTAGCATAACATGAAATGTGACATTAACTGTAATATTGTTTTAGTATAAAGTTTATTTACTTGTGTGTAACATAGCAAAGCTGGATCAGTGAAGCTATGTAGGTCACAATGACCTGGCACGAAGTATTTTTGAGCTTATATGATGTTGCGATGTCTGTCTGTCTATCCATCTGTCTGACCAAACTTTGGTTTCCTCAAGATAACTTGTTAGTGTGTTAACATCAAAGTTGGTTACCCTTAGGTTGCATATGAAACTTGGGCATGGAAAAGGTCATAGGCCAATTTCAGGTCAAAGTAAAAAGTCAAACTGCTGTCACCTCGGGACTCCTTCGGGCTATATGGTTCCTACATGTACATGTACTTCATACAATCAGTCTATCAGATAAATAAAATCTATTACCTGTCACTGAGTGAGATTGGGTTATCTCAGTCGAGGGCTAGGTTTCTGTAACATAATCCCAACCAAGGCATCAGCCAAGCTGTGAAATGCAAAAATGTTGCATAAAAGGTACCAGACAGATCAGACAAGATAGGAAAATCTAGCATGGGGTATCATGACATGGGATGTCTGAGGTGCAAGAAAAATCTGTCACAGTAACAACTTCATCTTGTCATTTCCACTCAGTTAACAGATGTCTTTTTCTACCCGACTAATTATTATTTTTCTATAACTATATATACCTATAGCTAAATTATTATGATTGCTGATATCAAGCTTCTTTGTGCTCTTGTTGATTGTTAGGCCACCTGAGACTTTGTCTCAAGTGACCTATTGCAATTGCCTTTTGTCCGTCGTGCGTCCGTTAACAATTTACATTTTCGACTTCTTCTCCAAAACCCCTGAACCAATTTCAATGAAATTTTGCAGAAACCTTTCATGGCCAAAGGTCAACAAAAGTAATGAATGATATGGCCACCAGCCCCCAGGGGCTGATGGGTGGGGCCAAAAAGGGTTGAATTGACTGACATTTCAAAAATAATATTCTCAAGACCCAGATAAGGTAGAATCAAATACTCTTCATAGATGGAAGGGTCTTAACTTGCCTAACCAAAATAGTGAATTTCATGAGCCTGGGGTCTCACGTTTACCCGTGGGGAAGGAGGGGGGCAAAATTTATTATGGCAAATGATACTTTGAATATGACATGTTGATAACTTGATTGGAATTATAACCCTGAGTTGACAGTTTGATACTTTGAAAATTTCGAGCCAGCTCTACCCCCAAGGGTGCCCAAATTAAAGGAGTCAGTGTGCTAAATTTTCTTCATTTTCCTTGTTTAGAATCAGAGGTGCTTGTTTCAAATTCTTTTCCGTCTTAAATCTGTATGCTAGATAGTGAATAAGGTTGTTTTATTGTTTTTTTGTCACTTTGAATAATACTTCTGTTCATGTTTTAAAAACAGAAATCAACTCTCTGTAAAAATATATCAGAACTCAATGACTGTTAAGGCCCATGGGCCTCTTGTTTAATTATGCAATGAAAATAACACTGCCAAAATTATCTTTTTGATATTTTAATCAAAAAGGTTAACATGTCATTGGTTAATATTTATTAACACTATTCCTATAACTTTTTTATTTAATGTTACACAGAGAAAGCCTACCAGTCAGCTCTGACCCAAACGTGGTGTTTGGAACTCCCCATCGCCCCTTCCAGCTCATCGACTTTGGACAGAGTATTGACATGACCAAGTACCCTCCTGGCACCACCTTCATGGCTCAGGTGAAAACTTCAGGCTTCCAGTGTATAGAGATGAAGACCAATATGCCTTGGACATTTCAGGTAAAATCACCATAGAATTATGTTGTCAATTACAACGTTTTATCTGGAGTGAAATACAAAAATACGTTTACTGTTTTTCTGCTGCAGTGTCATGTTGATGCTGATGTTAATGATCATTACACTCAGCTTAACATTTTAAGCACAACAATATGTCCACCGTTTGTTTGATATACCTTTTTTCATGTACAGGAAACATTATAACAGACTCCTGTGAATTTAAGAAATTGGGTTGTGATAGGCATATACTGTATAGTTGTATATTTCATGAGAGAGTCATTTTCATTATTTTCACAAATTGAATATCTAAACACAACCTGTGAACTCTTAACACTGGTGAACCATTTGCCAGTAATTAAATACGAAAATAGTAAGTGATGTAGGGTAAAATTAAGTCAAATAATGATTTTGATTATGGAGGCTATGGGTATGTTTTGTGAGCAGTATGTGGAATTTGAAGGCCAGATACATGATGTTCATCCTTAAGAACATGACATAGCTCAACATGTTTAATCTAAACAAATCAAATTAATGTCCCCTTAAACTTCAGATTTCTGATTAATAAAGAAAAACAAACCATATTAGTTCTTGAAAATAAGCATTTGAAAAGCTGGTATTTTGGATTATATTTGTTGTGCCTAAACTTGTTATTGGGATACCGGTAGCTACCTCACTGTAATGTCGTACCTCTCTTTACCACAGACGGACATATTTGGTCTCGTGGGCACTATCCACGTACTGGTGTTTGGTCAGTACATGAAGGTGTATAAGTCGAATGAGGAATGGAGGATGAACAGCTCCTTCAACAGGTTGGTAAAATCACAGAGTAGCTTGTTTTGTGCTGTAATATACAGTAAAACCTGCACAAAACCTAACTCTAATGTGTCACATTCCTGTCCTAACATGATTAGCCTAGTTAGTCTGGTCCTTGTCATTCCCATATATAAACTTTAGTGCTTTGACCTAGATGTTAACCGTTGATTAGGTTGTCTGGTTTCTGTATATAAATTCAGATGTTTACCCCATCTAACTCAGTTATGTTTTGCTGTCCTAGCCATTTTTTGCTTATATGACCTACAGTGCTTTGATCTGGATGTTTAACATGCCTAATGTGTATGTTGACTGGTGCTATAGCAAGTTTATTTATGATTATAATCTATGGTAATTTGATTTGGATGTCTCCATCCTTACTTCATTAGGTCACACAAGAAGTATAACAATCTGAAGTCCAGGGTTTCCAATCCTGGTCTTGCCAAGCTGAATTTTCACACTCGGAATGCTGTTCTTGATCATATTTTGTTTATCCTTATAATTTTTTCATAAATTCCTGCAAAGTACGATTTTCTTTGTAAATGATCCTGAATTGACTGTACATTATTGTCTAATTCAGTTTGGTTTCTAAAAAAAGTAACAAAATAAGAAACAATTTGTTTTCCAAAATATTGAAGCATACATTCTTGATAAACAATGTGTTTTGCTTGTTACTACAGGAGCTGGAATAACTTGTGGAAAAACTTTTTCCACACAATGCTCAACATCCCCAGCTGTCATGAGTTGCCTGATCTTGGACAGATTCGACGCCAGTTCGAGTTATATTTTGTCGAGAATCTGTTGGAGAATTTCAACAGCCATCAAATTAAGCTCCGGTTCCTTATGACGAAGCAACTTTTCTAAGCATGGTTTTCTATTTCATCGGAAAGAAAAGCTGGGATGCACTTGGTTGGTTTGAAGAAATATTGACAGATCTGTCAAGAAGTCTTACAGAAGTGTACATACTAGATCTGGAGTAGAATTCAAGATCTTGGAATTAAATGCAAACGATTGATGTCAATAACTAACTAAGATGAATAAAAACATCCTAGGAATCCCTCACAATGGGTATTTTTTCATCTAAATGAGAGTCAGGCACACAACTACCGAAAGTGGTTTGGTCTCACTGTCGACCTTAGTTAGATGTGAACTAAAAATGTTTGTCGCAGTTAAATATTCCCTAAGGCAAATTCATCATTATGGCTAATGATGAAAATTAGTAGATCCAATGCCATTATTTCTTCTAATGGTGGATGCTTGGGTCCTTGGCCCTTACCTTGATAAGCTGGGGGGTATGCAGGATGATAGGAAATAGCTTTTCTCCCCCAACCATTAGAGGTTTTCTCACTCCCGACTTATTGAATAAACCTGATGAGAGATAGTAATTATATTTTTACCCACATGTGGGTAACACCCTGGATATAGTTCATTGGTCAATATTCTAATTATAACGTCAAGTAACCATGCTTTGCAACATCATCTTCCATTGTGACGTTATGACTCATGGCTATTGTTTCACAATTCTAGAAATGAATAATGCATTCAGAAGAGACCATATGATTTTCTAGATATAATGTTAACAATATGGGAGAAAAAAAGACCCAAACTTGTGATGATTGGTAAGCATGTTTATCTAACTCTCATTGGATAATTTTCAAATTGTAAGACACACGGTAAACCTTGTGTCTCCATACAATTTGAAAATTAACTAACTCGAGGAAGATAAACATGGTAACCAACCATCACTAACATTAGTTACAGTCATATCAGAATCAATCACAACTGGCAAAGGAGCCAGATTTGTACATTTGTTTCTGGTTTTGACTGGTGTTGCCTTTGTAAGAACACGGAGGATTATATCGAATTTTACCATTAAGTTCTGTACTTAGAATGAAGGTACACTTCTCATTGTTCAATAATGACGTCCCTATAATGGGAGTCAATTAAACTGATATAATTCTAATACATATAAATGATTTGTAGATGTTATGAGAATATTTATATGTTACTATGTGTTACTGTATATGTATGAAAATGATATAGAGGTTGTTATTGTGCTGAAATTGTCCGGGCAGCTAGTGCCTATAATCATTATGTGGTTTGTCAGCACGAATGTGAGGATGTGTACTACAGGTGTGTACTACAGGTGTGTAATGTACTGTAAACATATCGACTAGTGCTTGAACTGTTTTTAGTTTGTTCAAGTTTTTTTATTATTAAATGTATTTCCACATAGAAATAACTCTAATTTTCTAGTATTGCCGCTGATTTAACATATTAATTACAAGAGAAAATTGTCATAGATTTACATATTGTACATGTGTGTAACTGGTTTGAGCATTCGGTTTTAAAGAAAATCTGGGAGAAAAAGGATCATTCCCTATCTTGAAGGTAGAGAGAGAAATTCACTACCCTTGTCAAATGTTTCTATTTCCTACCCTTGTGGAAGGGAAAAATCCTATTGTTTCCCCCCCAGTCACCGAAATGTCTCCAGTTCTACTTGTTCAAGATTCTTCTGGCATCCACTAGGGTATGATTTCTCTGTCACCTCCTATGATATGACAAATATGACAAGTAAAAAACAATATCATGACGTCAGGGGAACAATCAGGTATGATGTTAAAATCAGCTCTCGATAGGAGGGGTGCAAATCTGGATAACAAAAAAACAAGATAAAAATTGCTGAAAAATATTTTCAACCATAGAATTTAAATGATGTGGGGTGGGGGAGAGTTTAACAGAAATCTCCAACCCTTAAGACAATTATTTGGCAGAATATTGGGTTAGGCAACCAAAGAAGTCTCCCCTTGGGTTGGAAGTTTCTCTGTCACTCCCTTAAGGTAGGGAAAAATTCTGTTAGGTCTTATTATAAAATATTAACTACATGTATTAAAATGTATTTATATCAATTTTCATAAATTTTATAAGCATGAAATTACAATAACCATAGTGTGCTTGTAGGCCTGGGTTCAAACCCAAGCATCGTAGGAAATTAGTGTCAGACTATTAAACAAAGTCTTTTGGTGTAAGATGTTTGTATAAACAATTGTTTATTTTGGAGCAGCCATTTGTGAAAGTATCAATTGTCCATGTCAGTTTCAGTGTAATATGTAATATAATAACAGTTAAGTGATACTTCGGGAAGTTTCTGCTGTTCTTTAGAAGAAAAAATAGACATCATGCATGTAAAGTTTGTGCTGAATGTAGACAGTTGGATGAGTTAAATATTGTGCAAATTAATTGTATTAATGATCAACTCAACTAACCATGCTTTGATATATATATTTTAAATATGTTATTATGTTAATCTTGACCAAAGCATTAAGCACACATTTTTAAAAGGGGTTCTGATTAAATGGATAGGTAGTGTGATTAAATGAATACATGTGATGTGAGATTTGATAAATGGGGGAATGTGAATTTATGAATCGGGTGTGAAGTAAATTAAAAACTAGTGAGTGAATTAATGGGTTGTGAATTCATATATGCTATTTGAATTAATTAATTGGATGTTAATTTATGAATAGATCTGTGAATTGATGAATGGGTTGAGAATTAATGAATTGGGATGTGAATGAATAGAGTGTGTGAATTAATGAATGGAGGTTTTAATGGATAGGAAAATTATGTGAATTGATGAATGGAGGTGTAAGTGATTAGGATACATGAACTAATGAATGGAGATGCGAGTGAATAAAAAAGGTGAATTAATTTAAACATATAGGTAGGGCATTTTAAGGATTTGGGTGTGAATACATGGAATGTGGATTAATGGATAGGAGATGTGAATTAATAACCAAGTACTATTTAATGGATGGAATGTGAAGTGAAGGGAAGGGAGTGTGAATGACTGAGTGGAGGCTGTGGTTTGATGGCTAATGAATGAGATTTATGGAACGGGTTATCAGTTAATGGGTTGGTGTGAGTGTGGATTGAGAAGGAAGCAAAAGAAAAGTGGAAGTACAATAGATAACTGAACCATTATAACATGTAAAGGTAACCTCTGTGATACATTCAGTTTTAATCTGTGCTGCACATTTATCGCTAATTTCAATGTTTTCAAGTACATTTTGTAAATATAAAACCTGTCTTCCTCTTTCTGTATTTCTATCTCTATGTCTCAACTTCTTGTGTGATAATCTCTTTGTTTCTATATCTTCATGTATATATGTACAAGTATGTCAATTATGCTATCAGATTAAAAATATTACAATAACGAAAACCACACGTTTTGAAAATTGTCAAGGTTGTTTAAAACTTTGTCATAAAATAGAAGCTAGATTAATGATGAGTGAGTTCTATGTTCATATTTAATATTAATGGTGCAAGTAATCTTGGATTCATGTCAGGTACCCAATAAAACCTGACTTTACCGACACTTAATTTCTAGACATTTCATACTCTTCAATAAAATTTAACAGCACCAAATGACTGGTGTCTGTTTGATTTTTATTCAAAATATTATTTTAAATGATATATCATGATATTGGTAAATACAGTTTTCACTGTGTCCTGTTTAAAAATTACAGTTATCCCCTATTCAGATTTGATCAAATATGAAAAACAGTTCTTGTTGATTGAATTTTATTTGGTAGATTTCAATTATATAATAATAATAATAATTTGAGGTTCTTGTATACTGCTTTATCACAACCTAGTTGGTAGGTCGTCTCGAAGCGGTTCACAAATAATTTTCCAAGTCCCTAGGGAGCATACAGCTGGTGCTGCCTTTAAGGTGCTCACAGCTATCATTCAACAATTCAAACAATGCCCAACCAGATAATCATTTACAGCAGTGTGCCATGACGTGACATGACTCGAACCCACGAGCCCGGCGTCCTACCACTAGACTTCCATGCCCCGACTAAATATGCAAATTTAAAAGTTTGTAAAATCAAAGGATTGTTTCCCTGTAAAACTGTTTTGGTGTCATTGTTATCTTACATAATATGAATATGATCGAACTGACATTGACAAAAAGATTTGATATGAAAGAAATTATCGATTTGAAAACGATTTTACCTCTGTAATAACTCATAAATGTATTCTAAATTTGCAACTTCAATACAGACTATACATATAATGGATTTGGTACAAGCAAAATGTTTCATTTTACATTGAAATCTGCAAAATACACAACCGATTAAAAAAAGAAAGCATGGTGTTCTTTCAGCAACAGAACAATGTTTTTTTTTTGAGTAAGCCATCTAGATATCTCGATATTTTGTTATGTTTACATCATATTCCATAATCATGTGGTATAATATTCATTTTTTAATTCACTCATGAATACATAATTCTTTATAAAAAAAACAACCCAGAATCACAGTACTCGGTAAAGAGTACACACAATGTAACTTTGTGCTATTTACTATTGTGCCTAATTCAGAAACAAAGTTATCTGTGGTATTTTAACTTGGGTTAATGTTTTTTTGCATCCATTTAGCTAATTTGCTTGTGTCGGAGACAAAAATTGACGCACATTTTGTTTTTAAGATGGAGACAAAATTAGGAAGGGGGCTTAATTGCAGGCACCCATCCTGTTCCCAGGACATTTGCCAGAGTGGGAAGGGTGCTTATTTGCGGTCAAATACGGTACTGTAACAAGTTTTTGTAAAATGTCAGCAGATGTTTTTTCAAAATTCCAGTATTATGCAAATGGCTTGTAGCCACAAATCACAGACTTAGACTTAATCTAATTCCATTCACATATGAAGTTATTAGTGAAAAAAATATCTTCAACATATTATATATACTTATCTCCCCCTATATAATGTAGCAAAATATGCAAATAAGATAGTACCACCAATAGAATATTTCCCCAAAGGTATTAATGAAATTTAACCACCTCAATTCAGGCTTTAAAGAAATTATAGGGATTGCGGTATGTATTTTTGAAAAATAATTATAGTTCTGCCTTTGCAGAAAAATTGTGTAATATGCAAATGAGTTGTACCACATATTAAATTGTTTTCAAAAGTATAATCCAAAATTAATCCTGGGTTGGGCATAACCTTACCAGAACACATTTCAAATTTTTGTCTTGTTTACAATAGATACATTTCGGTACTTTCATCATTTTAATGATTCATTTACATATGTATAGAATATTTTCATTTTTAATTATGAATTTTAATTTGATAATTACATTGATCTAATCATAACACAATTCAAAACTCCCATCTGTAAAGGTTCAGAATCATAACCATTAGAGTGAGTTTGTATTTAAAAAAATTTTGGTTGATTTTGTTTTTATATTTACATATTTTGAGTTTATATTTAATACACTACCAATTGTCTGCAACCACTTGGTTCTGTAAAAATGCTCATCTTGATAATACATGCATATAAAGCCCTGCAGAAATTTCCAGCACATGGTACAAACTCATTTGCATATAACACAAATTTAAAGAAGGAAGGTAACAAAATAATGATTGACATGAGAGATAACTCTTCATATAAAAGATATTAAGAACAATACGGAAATGTGTTCTAAAACACAATCAAGGATAAAAAAAATCTGATCAGTCTTCTGATTCTTTGAAATTCCTTTATCTAAGCCAGGTATGTTTTCTAACAACTCGACACATTGGTTTGTTTGAAATCCTATTTATTAATGTTACTGATGGCATCACGTGTGACTGGAGCGGCCACATCACAAGAACACAAGAGATGGACAGCAAATATTTCGTAAATATATAGAGCATGTTATAATGTATATCACTATTAAAAATATTCTTACAAATATTATTTACAAAACAAGATATTTATACAGTATTTTTATAAATACAAAATTATATGGTAAATACTAGCAGGATTTCACAATATTTATTCAACCTTAACCAACACATTTCTGCATGGAGATTTATAAATTTATACAGATGTAAAATTCACAAAGAACTTTAACACATAGTACAACAGGTCCAACTTCAAAACAGTTGTGTCTTCAATAAAATATATTTTTTACATTCCGCATTCATTCCTTAGAAGCCAAGTAAATGTTATACACAAAATAATCAATTTTTCTACATTACAGCAGTTAATTTTACCTCATTAATGCAAAGCTTGATAGTACAGAATATAAAGAAATCTAGTACAGTATATCCATTTAATGGTAAAACAGAACCACATCCATTCGCCAAGAGAGATATGTAGTGAACACCTGTCAATCCAGACATGAAATGACCCAGGAAAATTGGCTTAATTAATTCAAAAGCTAACTTACTGGTCAGGAATAGAAAATGAGAAATCAGTCTCTCAACACACTGACCAGATAGTGGGACAACTGTATTAGTGGGACAACTGTAACTGGAGTATGTTTTCAATGCTTTATTCGATGAGAACTAATTCAAATCATGACATGATATCCAAACATTGGCTCGTAATTAATCTGTTAGAACCTGTGCACGTTTAATTCATCAGACTAATATAATATTATATTATACTAGTAAAACATTTTGATTTGTTTTAAGTTTTGTATTTTCAATTCTTGTACCTATTGTTATTAAGTTATTGATTACACATGAAATTTTTCTGAAGATATGTTAAACACTTCAATAGAGGTTGGACCATGCTAGCCACATCAAAGGTAGTGACATCACTAGCCTAACATTCTGGTTGTAGAGACGAGCCTTTCACAATATGTTAGTGTTGAACTTTATGTGAACTAACATCCTTAAACACAACAGAAACCTAGAAAACACCAACCTAATTGTAACGAATGAACCGTTTATTTTACAAAGTAATTCTTGTAGATCTGTTTATATCTTTTTTATTTATTACAAAAAGCTACATATAAATTAGTCAAGTAAATACAAACATGACTCTGCTGTCACTCTGTCTATAAAACTTCCATACAATATGATTCTCGTATTAAGATAATTCAAACACTATACAATATAACTTTGGTACAATGAATCCTGCCTATACCGACATTAAACAGGACTGAATCCTTTTGTTGTATATGACGGTGATGGTAAGGCCATCATAAAACACGAATCATTTAATATATGATGTCCTTAAAGTCAGGTCTCTGTATTTAATATCTATCTCTTTCTACTTTTTACAGTAAAACTTTCTTATAATGCCCTCCGGACATTTTACATACATTAGAACCCTTATTTAATTCCACTCCTTCCATCCTTTATAGATTAAAACTTCAATTTAACACCCCCTTTCCCTCTGACTTTATACAGTAAAACCTCAATATAATGCCATTCTTTCTCACTTTATACAGTAAAACCTAAATATAATGCCATTCTTTCTCACTTTATACAGTAAAACCTCAGCATAACGCCACTCTTTCCCTTTCTTTCTTTATACAGTATAACCTCAGTATAACGCCACTCTTTCCCTTTCTTTCTTCATACAGTATAACCTCAGTATAGCGCCACTCTTTCCCTTTCTTTCTTTATACAGTATAACCTCAGTATAGCGCCACTCTTTCCCTTTCTCACTTTATACAGTAAAACCTAAATATAATGCCATTCTTTCTCACTTTATACAGTAAAACCTCAATATAATGCCATTCTTTCTCACTTTATACAGTAAAACCTAAATATAATGCCATTCTTTCTCACTTTATACAGTAAAACCTAAATATAATGCCATTCTTTCTCACTTTATACAGTAAAACCTCAGCATAACGCCTCTCTTTCCCTTTCTTACTTTATACAGGAAAACCTCAGTATAACGCCACCCTTTCCCTTTCTTACTTTATACAGTAAAACCTCAGTATAATGCCACTCCTTCCCTTTCTTACTTTATACAGTAAAGCCTCAGTATAATGCCTCTCTTTCCCTTTCTCACTTTATACAGTAAAACCTCAGTATAACGCACTCTTTCCCTTTCTTACTTTATACAGTAAAACCTCAGTATAACGCCACTCCTTCCCTTTTTTTTACTTTATACAGTAAAGCCTCAATATAATACCACTTGGCACCATCATTCTTCATCAAACCTAATTTCCATTTTTTGAGCAATTTCTATTTTTAACAGATCTCCCTGTTTAATTACCTACTATATTTCCGCTCTTATAGTGGACAATTCAGCTTTTTTATTGGAGGTATTTATAGTAAATTCCTTTTACTAGCAACCTTACAGACTATTTTTTTCCAAGAAAAAAACTAAGCCTGGTATAGTCATAATTGAAACACACATTAAAAACTAAACTGTTTCATACAAAGATGTAGCAAAATTGAAGTGTTCCACAAACTATTCTTTCCTGTTTCAAATAAATATTAATAAATATCGAAAGTATTTGCAATTTCAAAATAAAGTAGTCTAAAGCAATTCTCTACAAATTAATCATATCAAAATAAATAAATTATAATTACTTAATATTTCTAAGGCACATTTTTAAAAAAAAATCTAGAAAATTACACCAGCTACAAAAAGCAGGCAATCTCAACATACCAGGTAATAGAGCTTAAAAATGCCCTTACCATTTCCAGAAAACAATCTGATAAGTAATGATGAAATGACCGAAAACTACTGTGTATCAATACAATACAACAATTTATAAGGAGGAAAAAACATTAAACTTGTAATAATGTGAGCTTGTGTGTGCTTTTTTATATCTCATATTAGCAAAACAAAAATGGGTGGTGGGTGATAAACTACAGTAAACGACTTGTCTACACTGAACCCTGTATAATCTGGAATTTTGTATAAACCAGATTTTCAACTACGGGTATAGGTCCCTCTGAATACATGTTCATGTAATAAGAACCTATCTCATAAAATATAAGGGAAAAAAATATCAAATATCTTTGCTCACTTAACCGACATATCCCAAAACCTGTCTACTCTGAATGGAAGCATCTCAGAAGTCCCATGATTTTGTCACTACGAATATGTCATGACAAAATTGAAGGCTCTGTTGTACGTGCCATCTTGCAGATGAAACAATGCTATTATTGATTCCTATTGTATACCTTTGATATCTTTGATACTAGAAAACAGAAATACTGTGGCAGCATTAACAGTATAAATGTCATAGCCTTGGAGTTTGATGTAACTCTATCTATAAGGACAGGTATCAACCATTGGTTAGGTTTTAATCAAGTGACTTATTCCTTTGGTACAGAGAAGATATATCAAAAGCATAACCTACTATTTTTTAATATGGAATGGCAGCACTAGTCCTGGTGTTCAATTTATACAAGACTTGCTGTAAAATATAAAACTGTAAGAAATGAAATGAAATTACATGGTCCACGTACAATCAAACCCTGTTATATATGCACAGCTATAATCCTTAAAATGTGAAAATTTGACACTCAGAACAGAATTATCTTCATTTACACAGAATTTGTATATTCCACAGATGAACAAGTTTTATCTTCAGTATTGAAAATATTATATTTAATCATTCAAAATGTATTGGGATACTCTAACTATGAGAAAACAAATAAGACAAAAGAAGTACCCATTTTCCATTAGCTCAATAATGAGCAGATACAATATAGTGTATTAATTCAGGGAGGAGGGAGTCATCTGCCAGGCATTGGGAAGGTTTCTATCTTACCCAGTAAATGCATTCGGTCCCCCTTTAGTTTTACTGCAGGAGGGCTACTACTTATATGTTTGTCTCAGGCAGCCAATCAGCGAGCACTGACCAGTGGTCAGCCTCCTTTTCAAGATAGCTGCTATTTTTCAAAAGCATCACTCCAGAAATTTACATGGTCGCTAGCAGACGTGTTGCAGCACTCGCCACACACAGCCCTGGCATTTTGTCTCTTTCATTATATTATACCAATGTGATGTCAAATTCGGCATGGAATGG